TAAAGGATACATGAAAAATAAAAAGTGCACTTTATTTGCATTTAATTAAAGATCAGTCTCACGTCAGTTAGTAGTTAGTACGAAAGTTAGGGATACGATGTGGACAAGTAATGTTTGTACAGAAGATAGAGAAGGAGCTAAGCTTATAGGGACGGGAAGTGAATTCCATAGCCTAACTGCAGAGACCTTACAGGACTCGCCAAGGAGGAGTTATGAGATGGGATTTCAACGAAAGAAAACTTCTCTACATATCATAGACGGTAAATATTATATTTGTTTTTAATATTCAGATATAAAATGGATAGCTAGTGATATATTATGTAGCGTACTACAATATGTGCCTAATATTTCCCCTATGAGAAAAAATATCAATAATTTCGATACATATATATTATACATACGTATAATACGTTCACCTTCGTTAAACGGTGTGTACCTGGCATGCTTCATCGGAGTTCATAGGATGCGGCGTTGCGTATAAAATCATAAGGACACAAAATGCTTTGCGTTTAACGAATGGGTTTCCTTTAGAGTAACAGTGACCAGCGGTTCTAGTATACGTGATTTAATCTAGTGACAATATGTTTTTTGTGCTTATTTTGTTTTTGTTATTTGGGCGGAGTGCGTGCGTGATATATAGTTTAAATGGTGAGTTTAACTAACTTTGAAATCTAAAGAATAGTATATATAACATTGCTAAGATGTTGAATGTTCCAAATGTAGTTTAACTGTCTCAATCTTAAGGCTTTATGAGACATTCGAAGCGGCTATGGCCACAAAAATAAAATATAATAAGATTATAAATACATACATCAGAAAATTTTAGAAAATAATATTTCGTATGAAATTGGTACTAAGTATTGCATTTTATGATGATAAGATAACAAAAAATGGGGATTTGGAAATTTTACCTCTATAATAAGCAATAACAGCTGTACGGAAACTGTCAGGTATGCGAGAGAAAATCAAGTTAGTTAAGAGTTAAAATGTTGAATAATTTGGTAGTTATCTGGGAAAGCTTTTTAAGAGTTTTGATATTTTAAAATTTGTGGATTTTCTTTATGTGGGACACACTCCCACACACTGCAGTTTATTTAATTAAAGGCAGCTAAAAATAAGGTGCAATTGGAAGAATACTGTCGAAAGTCGCATTTGAGAAGACGACGTAGAATTCGCCGTCTCAAAATCAGTATAATGATGTTTAGGAAATGGTAAAGAAAAATTTGTCGTTTAGAGTTTATGTTTGTTTATGAAACTTAGAGCAAAGCCTATATAGCCTAAAAAGTGACCATACTGCCCGAAATCTATTAAATAATAACAAATAAAAACTTTATTCATGACAAATAGGTTGTGACAAAATTCACCTATCGCTAGTCCCACAAGGCAGTCCCTTTGTTGTGGGTAGTTAGATAACAATTCTTACATGATACATGGTATATGGAGAAAAAGTTGTTTTAGTGTTCAACTAATCAAACACAAGTCTTATAAGTATGCGTGAATGTGTGAGTGTGTTAATTGGTATAAGCGTGGGCTGTGCCTGTGTTAGTTTTTGGAACCTCAGAGACATGCCAAGATTTCTTTGCTAATTAAAATGCATTAGCATGCTATCATAGCACATTATAATTTTATGCTTTATAAATCATAGTATCACATCATCAATGATAATAATATACAATTTTTACAAATTACATAATTATATAATCGGGAATGTTCTTGAATTACTTATCTTGACGTAATATGAAGATTAAGTTTTTGTTAATTTCAAGTTTAAAAAAGAGAAAAATTAATCTTGAGACAAAAAATATTACCGAAGTAATTTACATAAATTAGTTTTAATATTTATCATACTTATATAGCATAAGACTATATGTATTTTTAACCGGCTTCCAAACCCTTTTATCCGTGTATTATTATTTTTTTATTCGAAACGTTTTTTAATTGTAAGGTTGTAGTTGGCACAACGCATCTTTATCTTGCGAATATTCTCAACTAAAGGCGATCACGATAAACATTACTGATCCTATAGGGTAAATTGTGTTTGCAATCTGGAGGATAGTTTTCAAAGAACCTTCGCCGTTGCGTATTATAGAGACTCATTTTTGGCAAAGCAGTGTTGGCCTAGTGGCTTCAGCGTGCGAGTCTCATACCTGAGGTCGTAGGTTCGATCCCCGGCTGTGCACCAATGGACTTTCTTTCTATGTGCGCATTTAACATTTGCTCTAACGGTGAAGGAAAACATCGTGAGGAAACCGACATGTCTTAGACCCAAAAAGTCGACGGCGTGTGTCAGGCTCTGGAGGCTGATCACCTACTTGCCTATTAGATTTAAAAATGGTCATGAAACAGATTCAGAAATCTGAGGCCAAGACCTAAAGAGGTTGTAGCGCCACTGACTTTTTTTTATAGTTTTTGGCATCATGACCTACCAATAAAAAGTTTGGTGTTTAACTCCTAAAATACAAATTTTTTAAGTTATATAAGGAAATTATACTATTCGATTCAACTTTCATAATTTAACAGATATCGTCAATTTATTCAATACATAATTGCGATTAATATACGAGTTTTTCGCCAACTTATTAATTACAACAAATTAATCTTACATTGCAGAACCATAATTTCTATATCGACAATATTCAATATTAATTATTATTACTTTATTTTAAAACCCTACTTTATAAATTATATAATTACCATTTTAAAAGCAGAAGTTTATACATCTGTGGTGACCGTTGTTTACTACTAGACCAGTCACGTAGTTTAAAAAAAGGTTTGATGTCATAAAAAATAGATGGTCATATTCGCACATAGACAACGTGCCAAGGTTACACTTTTGTGACCTTATTCTAAGAGGAAAATAAAACAAATTAAATTTATAACGCTTTCTGCAAATCATACAAATTATCTACTTTAAATCTATGCTAAGTGGATGGTCTGGAAGATATCGCTTAAAATAAACCCAATTCAAAATCAATTTTACAAGCTTATGCAACGAAGTGTGAAATTTAACACTTATAGTAGACACTACAGCAGTGTTTCCCAATGTTTTTTGTCCCATGCCCCATTTGAGCCTTTCTAAATTGTTAAATTTCAGTTTTCTTTACATAGTTTTGTCTATTAATGTACTTATTTGTTTTCTGTTTCGTATATATGTTAACGTAAAATTGTAAACACCGTTAGATTGTAATCTATCTCGCGAGATTATAAACTGTCGAAAGATTGTGAACCTCAGCGTACTGCTTACAATTTGACGTATTATTATTCGGTAGATTGTAATCTATCGAAGTGAAACCGTCAAATTGTGACCGATTTCTAAATCCAACTCATTTTCTCCTCAAACACAAATTAAAATTGAAAAATTAATGAAATTTTCTTTCATTTCATTTCCAACACTAACTTAGTTATCATTCAAACTTCTTCTTTACGATGACATATATATTGTTTATCTATTTAATCTGTTTTGGCTTTCTGTATTGAGTATTTTGTTTTATAGTATGTATGTGAACTGTAAGATTACTTATAATTAAATAAATAAATAAATTCGTATGCCCGCTATGTAACATACATAACATTCAATATTAAAGAATGAATTGTTCACTTAACAAACTTTAAAGATAGGTTTTAGGAAGAAATTACTAGGAAGTTGTTAAAGAAAGTACGCAGTAAGTAATTTTCAAAACATAATGAAAAACTGAAATTCTAATTCTAAATAATTTTAATAAATTTTTGAATAGCCCCCTTAACAATCAAACTGCCCCATTGTAGGACGTGAGCGCCCCACGTTGGGAAACACTGACTGACAGTAATAATATCGTTTTGTTATCAGATATTTGTAAGACTAGTTTTAATATTATATCCGACATGCTTCACTAAAATAAAGCATAGCAACTCTTGGTATTAGCCTCAGATTTATCTATCTATTTCATGATCAATTTCTTATTAAAAGGCAAGCAGGTGAACAGCCTTCTGTGCGTCGTCGCATCGCTGCGTCGCTACACCGTCGCTTCTTGACTCTGACGCATGATATGTTTTCCTTCCTCGTACGTGTATTAGATTGCATAATAAGAAAAATCCATTGGCGTATCCGAAATTCGAAATTACGACCTCAGGGTTGAGTTCGATGTAACTACAGAGCCAACACTGCTCTCACACAGTTTCAACATAAAAATAAATTCAACGTTTTTTGCTTTTGTTATATCTAACTATAAAATTTAAAACCACGCCATGAACCCGTTTAGATAATAGGTATTTAATAGGTAATTAGACATTATATAACAAGCATTTACAGGTTTAATTGTACATTATATGTATCTGAGTTTGGGCTGGTGCTTTGTTTAGCTGAAATAAAAATAATACCAAAATTACATTTTTAATACGAAGTCTCCAATTTCATATGTAAAGACCTAATAAAAAAATACGAGAGGATGATACCAGAGATTAATATTCTGGTGGTATTCCGTATACCGTGGACCTGCACAAGAAGATATTTTAAGATGCTTATTTGTTTCTTTATATAAACCTTGGCTTCAACTGAAGTCCTCAAATGTGGGCTACTTTATTGTGAGGAAGTTGCATGGATCTGGTTAGAGCGCTTTCTTAAGTTCTGATGTTATTTTCACGTGTACCTATATCTTTTCTACAACATATTTTCATAAGTATCTAGTTGTCCTCTTGTAAGATATGTGATGGTTGTGAGCAAAAATAAAATAAAATGCCTGGAAATTACAGCGATCTCTAAGAAGGTTTGAATAAACATAATTGTGTATAGAGGTTACTGTAATGATTATTCTTAAAATTCCAGCAGGCTGTCGCTTCGTGATTACACAGTTTTGTAAAGATACCTATAGATAGATCTTAAGAAACTATTGTTACTAACATACAAATCAATCAATGGACTGTATTTGTCTGATGAATAAAATTATTATTATTTGATATCACACAAACTTAGCCAGCGAGTTTCTATTCAGCAAAAACTATTTTCAGAAACCGATTACTTCAAAATGCCACCGCTGTATGAGATGGACGATTATGACGTCTGCATGACAGAAGCAGAGGGCACTTACTGTATCGCGGACTTCGATCTATTCTCCAGATCTCGGTCTCCTCTGATGCATTTAATTCAGGTAAACATTTCATAAATTATATAACAGACATGAAATAGAAATCGTCCCACAATCGCGATTGTACTATCTGTGAAGACACGAAAACATCATTAAAATTAGAAATTTAAATATATAAATGTTAGAAATGTCGAGAAATAAATATATGTATTGGGGCACGTGCCCTTAGAAAGAGTATACGTTTAAAAATCGTACTTCCATTATAAGAGCGTGAAATGAAATGTTGGAAGACACTGTGCGAACAGCGCAATGGCGCTTCTAAACGGGCCATGTTTTGCTGCAATTGATGGCTGCACTGTTGGCAACTAATTGCCCGGCCATGTATTGCAATATGTCTGCAATAGCATGGCCCATGATGCAGACTCCTAAACGGGCTACACAAACCGGCAACAATGGCTGACGAAATCACGCGACAAGTGTGATCTCGTCAGCCATTGTTGGCCGACATATTGCAACACATTGCCCAGCCATAGATTGTTCGGCCATCAGCTGCATTAAAATATTTTTGTAATGGCCGGGCAATTAGTTGCCAACAGTGCAGCCATCAATTGCAGCAATGTTTTGCCCGTTTAGAAGCGCCATTACTAAAATAAAGTTAAAAAGTTAAAAACACTAGCTCAAGACTAGTCCAGTTTAGAAGCGCCATTATTTATACACGTCCACGTTTATGCTTTAAATAAATTTTATTTAAATATTTGTAAACTAAAGACAATATTCTGATCGCGTTTAATTTGAACAATTGTATAATTATGGTGTAGTATAAAATCTATCAAGTGTAAAACTCGTTGTAAATCATTATAACTAGTTTAAATGACATGCAGTTAACGGTATATAGTTATTTACTTCATAGCCAATTTACTTGTATTAAAATAATTATAAATAATGATATTAATACGAATGCTATGTCAAGGTGCCTAGGTCAAAATAAATGTATTTTAATAGTTCTATTATTTTTCATAAATATATTTCTTTAGTTATGAAAAAATAATATTAAAAGTTCGACTATAACAATTTAAAATGCATGTTGATAATTTAACCGAAATAAAAACGGGGTTAATGACCCTTTGTACACCATCGATCGCTGATAAGTGAACCTAACTTTTTATCGATTACCATACTACTTCTTAACCACGACAAACGAATTGAATTAAGTTGTTTTTCAATAGCTTTCGAAAAGGTTCTGCTTGGGTTTTTGCTTGGTTTTAGAAAAGGCCATCGTGGCTCAACAAATACTCACCATTCAAAAAATTTCAGCAATATTCAGCATACACAAAGAAGCATTACAATCACACACAAATACACAGAGGTTTGTGTGTTACAAGGACGTGTAAAGACTATTTAGAAAATTTTAATAAGACTATGGCCCTGAACGCGACCCTTGGCCCATGTCTAAACGAAACAATATGGAAAAACTATGGGATTGAAGCCAAATTGTCAACAATACAGTATTGTAAAAGAAAAGATGATAAGAAAGTAATCGGCTATGGTACTTTCGCTATTATTGGCGTTTACGGTCTAGTGTTGTTATTGAATATGATTGGCACGTTCTACGAAACAATTTTATCTAAAGATGAAAACAGAACAGGTAAATGCTACTGATAAACCTATACATATAATAAATCAGTAGAAATGGTATGCTTGATAAATTTAACACTGGTATCGCGTATCTTATGTCCTTTACGCCCTCCATAAGAGGCTGTTGATTTTGATTGATGATGGTAACGTCAATATGTAAGATGTCAAGACATTGTATATATCAAAATATTCTAATTTTGATATATACAATGTCTTTAGATTTATTATCTGTAAACGGAAATTGTTGTGACCTATATAAACAGTGATAGCCAGTTGTCGAGTAAAATGGGGATTGGGGAGTTACAAGGGCCTTAGTCAAGATACCTTAACAGTAGTGTATGTAGAAAGTCGATAACTAAATTTGTATGGAAATGACAGTTCGTGTCGAAAAGTTTTCTAACAAATTTAGTTTTTGACTTTCTACATACACTACTGTTAAGGTATCTTGACTAAGGCCCCAGAGTAGCAAATTACGAATAATATTATCAAATAACAATAACAATAGTTTTTCATACAATTTTAGTTAAGGAACAAACGAAAATCGTTTTAGTAAAACCTTATTTAAGTCATTAAAATATACATTACAGGAAACAAATATTTACTAGCGTTCTCCTTAAAAAGAAATTGGAAAAGATTGGTTGCGCCCAGCGGAAAGGGTTCAGATGAAAGACTGAACAAGCTTAAAGCACTCAATGGTTTGAGGTAATGAGAATAATTCATCACATGACTTCACATTCATCAGTTGCTTTGATTATTGTAATAGTTTAGACAAGTTGGTGATCATCTGTGCCATCCCTTCTGTGTTACCCCACGATGATTACCTTCGCAATACGAGCACGTGACAGGCGACTTGGAATTAAAACTTACGTTCTTAAGCTATCATTTATATAAGAAAAACCATAAAATTTATAAAAATAATTAAACCAATACTATAAAATTTTAACATTTAGTGAAAACTTTACATATAAAGTCATTGGAGACGTACCAACCCTTAAGATGTACCAATGCACTTATAGCAGTAATTCAAATAGGTATCTATTGTTTTTCAGATCTATGACGATGGTGTGCATTATTTTCTCACACACAGCTCTCACTTTGGCGTTTACGTATATTGAAAATCCTCTTTACTTTGAAAAGGTAAATTTATTTATAATAAGGCAAAATATTTCCGGGTCTCCCGTTGTGAATTGTATATAAATTCTGATTAAAAAATACTGAAAATGTTAATGTTTACCTGCCTCTATATACACGGGGCCGTAGCTTGAACAATGTGAGCTATTTGTTTGCTTGATTACCGATAATCAAAATTTTAGTAATGTAAATGCCAGGGGGCCACTAGAAGTAGGTACAGAGGATGGGAGCATAAAGCAAGCAAAACTTCATCGTTAAATGGCATGTTTTAGTTATTGTACAGTCAAGTACAATAAATAGTTTGGAAAATCCAAAAGTGCACGCCTCATAGCGGTCATTCACATTTTAAAAAAAATCTAAAACAAAAACTCAAGTTTTTTAAAACAAAATATCAAATAAATTATTATCTTTAAGTCTCACGCCACGAAGAATATTTAAACATACATATTTAGTGGCGCCATAACTCTAAGGTGAGGAACAGTCGTATTTTAGTTTTTTACAAATTATAATTAAACGACAGTACTTAGAACGCTAATATTAACTAGGAATTAGCCCAGGGTATAACTTTATATAATAAGAAAAAAGTATTCTGGTACGATAAATTTTTCGACCAATTTCTCTGCCACATACATGGATCCATAAACACAGACTGACGGACGTCCAAGAATGATTGATTTTAATGTTATTATTTACTATGTTAAACAAAATAATTGTTCATAGAAAATACCATGCTTGATAGATTATTTAACTCGATTTTAGTGCACTCATATTATCCTGTAAGTGTTATATTAGTGAGAAAAAAGTCATTCAAGTTTCGAAAGACTGGGTTTTTTGACATGTCGAGAGTAGAGCACTGCGAGGCGTGCAATAATGCATGCCATCTAATTAATACTAAAATAAATTTTGACAAATGAATTATAAAAATATTTGCTACATTCTCAAAAGGTGGCGACGCCCTTGAAAGTAATTTCAAATTGATACAGCGAAATTTTAAAATAAAGTTGTTCCATTTCAGGCCTATGACGATCCATTTAAGCAGATCCTATTCAATGGTATATTGGTAACAATGACCTTCTTTGTTATGTCTGGTTTTCTACTCGTGTACAATTTCTTAATCCACGCCGAGAGCCATGAGATTACATGGGTCGATTTTCCCAAAGGAGTTTTATTACGATGGATCAGGTATATAAAGATGAATTATATGTTTCTTTGTCTATGTATAACCAAGCATACATTTAAAAAAGCCTTTTTTACTTCTTACTTATTGTACATATAAGAAAATATATGATGAAAGCCAAAGATTCTAAGTGACAGGCGTGATATACGAGTACTTACGGCGCGCGGCGCTCTAACTAGTAATAGAAATGGTTACCGCGCAAATTTTGTATTGTCTTTCCAATACAATATTGTTTTGCCTGTCGCAGAGTATTATTGACTAAACATCTAAAGATCTCTTTTATGTCATAAAATATTTTAGGCTAGGCTATAATAGGCTAGTACAAAATTCATGAAGCATTAAACGAAATGCATTTGGTTACGTACCTAATTTGTAAAAACGAATTTTAAAAAATCACAGATTCTAAATTCACAAATGGTATTTTTGTTTTTAATCATTGACGAAAAAAAAAAGGCAATGTTCTATATATTGTAGTTGAAGAGCTATGCGAAATTATTAATAGAATAGAGGGAATAAAGGAGAGAGATCAACATAATTAAAAAAAATCGAGAATCTTTTCGTTATAGACCTGCGCCTGCCAATAGGTTTTCGCAAACTTGCTATTTTTCATTTCATATAATTTTACAGGCGTATAATTTTTTTAAATAATATTATATAAATCTTATAATCATTCTTTAGTAGTGTACATTTTACAAGCTTTAACTTTTTAAATGACTATTTTGAAGTTATCCAAATAGAAAACATTAAAATTAATTGTTGTCAAATTCCGCAAAACTTATAGAAAAGTTCATATAATATGTAAAAAAAAGCTGTTAAACGAAAGAACGTTATTTCCATTACGGTTTAAGGCTGGTGCATTTTTCTAGACCTAATTATTTCTCCATAAGTATACCGTTGCATTAAAAATTTCAGATTGACACCTACATACGCTCTTCTCATCGGCACTATTGGTTGTATCGTACCTTATTTCGGAGACGGCCCCTTGTGGCAGCTTACTGTGACCAGTGAATCCGACGCCTGTCGCAATAAGTGGTGGACAAACATACTTTACATAAACAATTACATGTATAGCGACAGCAATTGTATGCCGCAATCTTGGTGAGTTATTCACGAGGAAAGGAATAGTCCAAACCCAGAATATTGTACACTAACAATAAAAGCCTTTTATTTCTATTATCTATGTAACAGTGTCATTCCTTAGTTTCTGAGTGCCTTTGATACAAAGGAGTCCTCGAAATAATCATCGTCAGAGGGAGGAATCATCGATATTTAAGTCCGCACTGTGCCACTTTCCGCCATTTGTCTCTCGCTGCTTTCTTAATCTGGTCTATCCTGGTCTGATTTGTGTTTCTCTTTTCCTTTAATTGTACCACGGACACCAGTTTACTTTGTAGTTGCACTTTTCTGTTGCTCTTACCATGTGGAATCCATTTATGCTAGCATACGATTAGTTATTCTTCTTAATATTGTATTCTTTATTTCATCTTATCTTCTCTTCATTATCGTGCATCAATCTTTGACACACCTGTAGTATTCTATGCTGAGCTTTAGTGTGCGTTTGAGAGGTAGTACACTAGTATTGCAAAGCTTCCCTTTAATTGTCCGTAAATATATATAAACATATGAGTTTTAATAAATTACGCTTCTCGTTTTTAAGCGCCCGAAAGCTCTTGCACGCTTTTGCTATTATTGTGTCAATTTCTTATATTGTTGTATCGGTCACAGAATAACTGACCATATTCTGACCATATTAGATCTGATTTATATTTTCTCGTCATACTATCTAAGACAAGCCTGCTTTCACTATGTAGTCCTGTGACCTTTCTCTCCAATACATTGCGTATTGAGACAAATACAATAAGGTCTGTTTATTATTAATCCGTATTTCTGCCGACTTTCTGGATACTTCACAACTGCCAAAAGCAATTAATAAAGATTATGCCTTATACTTAAAATTTATAAAATTATGGATAATATTTGTATGTTTTAATGAAATCTTACATGTCTAGGTATCTAGCTGCCGACACGCAGCTATTCTGTTTTAGTCTTCTCGTGCTGGTAATAGCCCGGACACCCCGCTCTCGTAAGATAGCAACATGGCTAATGTTCCTCATGTCTATAGTCATCACAGCATCGATCACATACTACCAGAAACTAGATGCTACTGTCATTCAGACACCTGAGTAAGTTAATTAAATACAGACGCAAAACCGTAATATTGTTAATGGAATTATAATCTGTCCAACATACTGCTGACAATTTCAAGCATAATTTTAATCGACAACCAATGTAATTGTGACATAGTATATGGGAAACGCAATTCATTCCCCAATTGATGCAAAGTAGGTACAATTATGCCTAGCCACCGATTATCACATATATCCCGTGTATCCCGATGGGATGGTATACATGTTTTGGCATAAACAAGTGGACGTGAGACATAATTCATAACATACTGTGACATAGCTCTTTATTAGATCGGTTACGGATGCTTTTGATCTGTATTTTTTATCTTTTGCATGCACTGGTACTATGTAACTCAAAAAACGGATCCCGACGTTTATCTATGATCTTTGAATGTTTATCAATATACGTAACGCTGATGTAACAAGCGCTGATCGCGCTGTGCAAAAACACAAAATTGTAGTAGGTATCGGAATCGCCATCAGTATTGTTTTCAAAATACCGATGCTGTTCTACCGAGTTCTTTCCATTGATTCTACGTTGCCGAATTTCATCCAATTCGTTATATGTACATCCAAATGTCCGTAAATGGTTTATATATGATTGTAATAAAGGTTTTATTTTACAGATCATATCGTAACCTCTACAGCATGAACCCGACATTCAAAGCTGTATATATACCAGGTCACACAAACTTGTCCTCATATGTACTAGGTTTCATTGCTGCCTTACTCACTTATAAATGGCATAACGAGAAAAAAGATTTCTCCAAATATAGGGTAATTACTTAATGCTTTTGTTATTTACTCTTGAACGTTTAATTTTTTGAATCAATATTATTTTGTATATTAAAAAAAATATATTTATTAGATAGTACCGGTGATCCCAGAGCTGGTGCTTTCCTCACTCAACGAATAAGTATCGCATTACAGCGAGAAAATGCTTTATTTTTTCAGAGCTATCTCTGGGCTTACTGGCTTGTATTCCCGGCTGGTGTTCTTATCATTCTATCCGGTGGATTCTTCTACATTGACGGTCTGGAGCCCTCGCAACTGTTCAAAACTATATACGCCACTTTCTACAAAATCGTCTTCCAAATCCTTGTCACTATCATCATGGTCGGATGTTTCTTTAAATATGACAGTAAGTACTGCATATGTTAAACTTAACTCATCAAAACTTATATTATGTTAACTGACTGATGCTAAACCAAAACCTGTAATAAGCTCAAGACCATTCAGAAAATTACCTATTACGCGTAAGAGGAGGAATTTTGTAGAATGAACGACGGAGGAAAAAAACATACAAACAGTATGACATAAGACATTATTCCTGCATAACATTAGCATTTTCGACCTCAAAGTTGTGGACATGCCTCCACAAATTTGACAAAAGAGAGGCTAAATGTGCGCTGGACATCAAACGGCCTTAAAGATTGATTTGTGATATTACATGTCTTAATTAATTTTATCAACAATTATAAGTTATATTTCATTTTCTTTCGCACGGCGAAAGTGTATTTCATTGGTATAGTATCTATTCGTAGTTTTAGTTTTCTATTAAATTATTTAATTAAATCTACCCGCGGAACAAAAGCTATACAGAAATTAAGTATAATTAATTTATTGATTTTCTTACACAATATTAGAACGGGAGTTTAGTTTTGATTGATATTTTGCCAAGTTGGATCTTTGGTTGAAAATGTTCATAATTCTCGCATATCCTATGTGTATTGTCAGTATTCCGCCAGCTGTCGTTCTCAATTTTTAATCCGCACGACTGGGTTTCCTCGATAATTTTACTACGATTAGAGTTATAAGGTCCTGTTTTTGCCTGCTTTACTTTATCGCGAATTGTGCCTTTAAATGTGGATCTCAATTGCGTCGTAAGATAGACAAATTTATAATTTAATTTTTTTTACTGCTTCACAAATAATCACAAATAAAAACGTCAATAACTCCAATATTTCGGTATTCGGATAGATATTAATGCAAAAGGACACGCTTGTGACCTTTTGCATTAATATCTATCTATGTATATCTATAGCGAAGATCTATCAAGTATTTGTGACTAAGCTCTAGCCTATGTCTTCAACCTTATTGTTATTCAACGGGAACAAGCAAATGCCTAACTTGGGTGGTCTATTGCATGATCACATTTTCTTAAAAATCTTAAAAATATTTCATTGGCCAGTCTCCATAGAGATGGTTTTACTGATGGTTGAATTTTCAGATGTGTACCGTGTTATTTGTGAATGGCGTGGATTTACATGGATGGGAAGGATTTCATATAGTGCCTTTCTTGTACACACCTTGTTCCAGCGATGTCTACTGGGAATACAGATGAAGCCTATATACGTCTCCGACTTTTATGTGGTATGTAATAAAGCTAGATTACTGTTTCTTTTACTATCAGTGAACCAGCTGCACCAATGCAAGTTTTCTTTCAATGGCGTCTTTAACAGTCTGAAGATTTTTGTGAATCTTTATCAATTGGTTGATAATGAGACGAATAGTGTGGGGAGAATGAACGGAAATCGAAGGAAGAGATTTTTTTAATCCCAATTTAGTAGCTCCTAGCATCGTTATTAATTTTAGGTGTCATTCCATCAAAATTTTAGAACAAAGAAAGATTTACGATTGCTATGATTCGTGTTATTGTTTTAATTTTAGTCGGTGTTGCTACATTCATCGATTTTCACATCGTACCTACTCGGAGTGTCACTTTACCTATTCGTGGAGTCTCCAGTAGCGGGACTTGTCAAGGCCATACTAACCCCAACAAGACGTAAGACTGAACAGGAGAATAATAAGTAATTTATTAATGTATTTATTTATATTATATGTTGAATTGGTTGTTGCATTTTTTTTATCGGTTATTATCCTATTAAGCTTTTCATCCTTTGTTCCGGAGCAGAAGAATTTTAGTACAGAGACATCTTCCAATATTTTAACAATCGCTTTATTATATGCAGAAAATAATGCACGCCATTTAAAGCATATCCTGTGCATGAAAATATTATTAAATGAGGGAATTTAACCCTTAATCAAATAGATCTTTTTTTTGTCAGAAAAATTAAAAGTGGACACGGTTTTTGGGTAAACAGGGCCTGTAGATTCCGAAAAAAATATCCTTTTTTTTATAAAGTGAAATTATTTCCCATTTAATCCGTATTAGAAAAGCAAAATTTAATCAAGTGGGATATTATTTCCCACTATCCGGCATAATAATATATAATAAAATAATAATAATATAATAGACCAAACATTATTCTTTGTATATAGAGAAATTTCCGTATTTTGTGCTATGCAGGAACAGACATTGGGAAATAAGTTCCACCAAATTGAGTCTAAGAAAATTTAACAAATATGAATGCTACATAGACATTAACCGCAAAAACCTTTCAGAAAACAAGTCTAGTTTATAAGAATATTGCGTTTATGCACTTAACAGATTTTTTTCTCCAAAAACTTTTAAAAATTCTCAGCAGAACCGGTTTTTTGTCAAAATATTTCAATTTTTGTTTTTGACATTGACACACGCTGACATTTTGTGGTTTCGTACAAAGCGTTGGCGTTAATAAAATTAATAAAAACAGTAGGATTATATTGTTCCTGAGTAGAGTTACGAGTGAAAAAATAGAAAATTATTTGTAACTTGGTATCAAGTGGGAAATAATTTCCCAGTATTTGATTAAGGGTTAATAAATAAATACTATAAACCAAGTATCATGAATTTTTTAAGTGTTTTTAAGATTATTTGAATTTATTTGTTATATATCTCCCCTTAAAATTAACAATATTATGATCACTATTTAAGTTATATTTAACCTTTTACTTTATTAGTATGTCCATGGTACTAGGACACTCACACTACCAGATTCGCGAGTGTGAGTAAAACGGCTCCTTGCCCTGAATACCCTACTCTAAATGTGGATCTTTATTTTTAAATACTGCATATCTGATGTGGGATTCAGCTATTTATTTTCGTTGACTGTCTTTAAACATCACTTACCTAAACCAGTTAAATAATAGTGGGTTTTCGAATAGTATAGAAAAATACTTGTTTTCTGTTGTTGTCTATATCTAAATATAGTGACATTTAGCCCCAAAAAGACACAGGTTTCCACGTTTTCCGCTAAAAAAGCACCCAAAAACCGTAGCTACATTCGTCTGAGCAAATACAGCGCGCTTCAAAATGGACGTTGAGGAAATAGCTTGCTCTCATGTAAGAAGCTAAAAAAGGAAAAAAAAATAAAGTGACACCACGGGCCGTAGATGTGTCGCTTCGATCTCGTTGGCCGCCGCGGCTCGATGGTGTCGCCGGCCGCGTGCGGCCAGGTGCGCGTGCTCCAGTGCGATTTCATAATAATGTCGCGACCTGGCCGCTAGTGCGCTATCGCCCGTATCGCCTCGACGTCCGTCCTTCCTCAACTGAACAGTCAGCAGGAAAAACACATAAACAATTAAAATAATTGTCCTTGGAACAAAATTAGAACCTAGAGAATATTATCTTCATAATCTTAATTGCTTCGCGGCTCGCTGACATGGCAACAAATGACGCGCACGGCAACGTAAATAAAATAACTTTTAATCCTTCAAGACGATATAATACAATAACAAATTAATTTTTATCTTGATCCTTAATCTTCGTTTGTAGAAAAAACGACACTAACAATAGAAAAAAGGAATTGAATACATTAACAGTTTTACTATAACGCATTATCTAGTTAATTAAAGTTTATTTAAATAAAAAAGTAAATAATTTTAATCACACAATCATTTTTATGTTCTGACGCAGTATGAAGTGGTTAGTTGGTGGACTCAGTTTCCGCACTTAGACGCATATTAGGTCCGTTGTGCCTAAAGTATGTAGTATTAAATGGTTCCCATATGTTGTTGGGCATTTTATTTTTTTATTTTTATGGGGTCATAATTGACAACTGTATAATGGATTGGGTCTTATTATTATCTTTATATATATAATTCTACTGTACATGTGTGTCACTGAACTCCTCTTAAACGGCTGGACCGATTTGAATGAATTTGTATGCGTTTGGGTGGCGCCCTGGATGCTTTAGATGGTTAGATGGTTTAGACAAATCAGCCCGGCAGATGGCGCTGCAGTCGTTATTTTCATACTTTGTTTAATATCTTAATCGCTTGAAATATCATGCAGGACAAACGTCGGGTCCGCTAGTGTACTTATAAATTACACTATTTTAAACTTAACGACAAAAACAACCTTCGAGTGTATTTCGACCGGAAGTAAATATTTCCATTGATATTATACAAATATTTAAAGACTGGAAACATAGTATTTATTTTCCTCTTTTAGGAGATCATATTTGAAAATATGTATGTAACATACCTATACTAAAACAAGCTAATCGAAGATATACGAATTCACAAAAATATACGTGTCCTCTTCCTTAACGTTTTATGATATGAATGATATATACAATATATATATAAGGTCTATTATAAAAATCGTTGGTCGCTCTCCGTAGCAGTTCGTATGAGAATAGAACTTAAAGTATACATGGTGTAGGTATTAACAAAGTCAAATCTTATATTTGATTAGGCCTATTAAAAAGGGACTTTTGACAGTCAAAATTGCATGTTAAAAATATTAAAAAGAAATCTAGTTACCACTTCCAAAAGATAGTTTCATATGAAGATGAATGGGAAATAAACTCCATACTGTGTTTTAAAATAATTTTTACAATATTTTCTATACATTGATTTGATAATTATATGTGAAGACTATGTACCGTAAATAAAAGAAACTACTATACTAATATGAAATAAGCGCCTGGTGCTATAAAAAACAATGCAGCAGCTCACTAAATTATTATGTAGATACATGGTGCTCACATAGTCACAAATATTTCCACTATAGATTTTAAATTACTCTTTAAAAAAAAATTATGAACATATAGTCACACAATGTGTGAGTTACATCAAAGTTGATTTCAAAAACCTATATGACTAGATTAGCAACCAGTTGATTTTGTGTAGTTTGAGTGTTGGAGCAGCCCTGCGATTCTGTAACTCACTTTTCGAACTCACACAGCGGTTTTCGCATCGGCGGTCGCTCTCAAATCAATCGTGAAGCAGTCATTTTATGATTTGGCATTCTGAAAAGGTAGGAGCTGGTAGTTTATTGTTTATATTTATTACGTTACATATTTTTGAAGTGTTCTTAAGGCGCCAAGGATAAAATTTTTACGGAACGTCACGAAGATGTGCAGCGTTTTTGGCGAAGAAAAAGGACAGAGCGATTGAGACTTGAACACCGATGGTTTTTTAATACATATCAATGTCATTATTATTTTATTAAGTAACTAAATTACCATTTTTTTTAATTGGTTTTGATTTTTTATAAGGGAACAGAACGAAGACCTTTTTTGCTAAGACAAGTTGGCTATTTTAGAAAATGTGGACATAAGTTAGCAATTATGATAATAATGAATTTGTTATATTATTTGGTAATTGTTACCATATTTTTGGTGGTATTTCTATATACATAACAACAACTAATTTAAGTTCTGGTTATTAATTAGCCTAAGGGTCTGCTTCACAATGTAAGGATAAGTTCTACATAATACGAGCCTGGACAAAATCAAATTGGTTGCTGATTTTTAGCTTTTACATATTTTTGTTATTTTTTTAAATTAAACATGCTACAAAATGTAATTATTTTATTTTATCTCACACACTGTTTTATTGTGTTTTTTTATATTATTTTTATTACTCTTTAATGTATAATATTCTACGGTTTCGATATTTGTAAATATGTCAGGAACATGTATACTAACTTTTTTAGTATAGTAGTTTTATTCTAGGGGAACATTGTCTTCACATATAATTATTTAACTAATGTATACAAAATATTGTAAACCTATTTTAAAAGAGTAAGTGTGGAGTTTCTCGCCCATTCTTCTCCACACGAAACTACCTTTTGGAAGGGGCAACTAGAATCTTCTTTACATTTTATTTGACGTCAAAGGTGCCATTTTAGGTGGTCTAATTGAAATAAATGATTTGACTTTGACTTTGACTTAGAGTTCCAAATTAGCTATTTATTACTTATTGGTAGGATAAACACTATTGTTGCGTTTCACGACTGTCAGATAGCGCTATTCGTCACATAAAGTCCATCATAAGTTATGAGACCGATGAAGTGGCAAATAGCACAATTTACCTTCCAAATAATTTATGTGTTGCATAGCTATTTGGTACTTTATCCATACATTGTGAAACAGACCCTTAGTATCATTCATTAATATAGAAACACTGGCAAAATTAAATTGTGGGATTTCGGCAGCTTGATTACTCAATAATTTACAAAGAAGTTTCACTTCTGAAATGTGTACTTTGTACGCACGCACTTTTTTATATCTACGAGTATGTGCCACCTAAAGGCCGAGCCGTAAGACAAATTGCGCCAGAAAGAAGTCGGATCTGAATAACTGCACACTTATTGTAGTGAATATTTTGAAATGAAATACTTTATTTTATTATTAGTGGTGCATTTATGTAATGCAGTTATTTATAAGCTCAATGGTAAGTTCTATTTTTAAATTACTATTACATTTATTTCTAAGCTTAAAATTCCGGTCATTTAAACAACCTAATATTATTATTTAAAAAAAATAGAGTATGCTAATAATCAAATTGTAAAATTTAATTTATATTTAAATTAAATTATGTAGTTTAATTTTTAAAAATTAATTGTGTAGTATTTACAATATTGTTAACCTGCATAGTATAATAATAATCAAAATATATAATTATATATATTTATTATTTATAGTTTTTAACTATAAATAATTATTTATAGTTAAAAATTAGTAAATAGTAAATTAAAACAAATGTAAAAAGTTTGGTCCCTGTGGCAGAGTACCTTTAACGCCGCGCTGGCAGATTTTACTAGCTTTAACTTAAATCTTTAATAAACGCCTGCCTTGTGATTCTGCAACTCACTTTTCGAAATCTCACAGCGGTTTTCGCAGTGGCGGTCGCGCTCAAATCAGTCGTTAAGCAGTCATTTTATGATTTGTGTGCACTTGAACCCCACAAGCCAAGAGTCAACTCCAAACGGAACAAAATCGAAGTTGGAGGAAAGACTCTTATATTTGAGCCGTTTATTATTTTCCGCCTGTTCCGCGGCCGCCCCAGCTTTTTTGCTTGTCCGAGGGAGGTGAGACGGGGCTAACTAATGTGTATACACAAGTGGCATCCTATACCAAAGCTCGTCCCATCCTCCAAGGAATCATTGTCTGTAGCAATGCCTGTTGGCTACAAAATGGCTGGAACATTGATGGAGGTAAGAGAGCGGCGTATGATGTCTTTGAGCGCGGCGTGGCGAGAAAAAAGACCTGCACTCTTTTGGCTCTGGAGGCCATGGTGTCCAAGGCTCTTACTTCAAAGCCACAGGGACACATATGGGCACTACTAAGCGGAGGGTGATGGCAATGCGAAGCGATTCAGGGTCTAAACGGGTGCCAATGTTTGGCGAAGGATAAGCATTAAGCCACCGGCTTCCCTAGACTCCACTTTCACCAACCTGGCGCGGTCTAAAAATAAAAAAAGATGAATTGGTTATAAAATAAATTATTGTATAAAAATAGCATGTAAAAAATGCGAAATCTAACACGCATAACAAAAAATAAAGATAACAATGTTTAGGGTTTAATTGTACCCAATAAAAAATCATGTGTCTTGTTAATTGTAATAAGTATACAATATAAAATAAACATCAACATTCATAAACTTTTTTTACAGAAGATATGAATTAATAATTAATTATATCTCACATAAAAACTTAAGTGGAACCAAAAATTTTTCGTAATCTATAAATATATTTTTTATTAAATGTATGTCTATGACAAACTACGTTCAGTATGCCAATAGAGATTTCTAAAAAAACATGCGATTCCATGAAAACTTTTATTATTGATATGTACGTGATTCAATCATTTTTAATTAGAATCGCTTATCTCACACTGTCATAAAGACGTGCTCGGTCATAAAAGGTTGCTTGTATGAAAAATTCTAGTTAATGTTTAAACATGACAGATATTCAAAAGATAACGTCATTAGACATTGGAAATTGTAATCGTTATCATAAAATTAATTGTACGTCATCCATATATACTTCGGTATCGGCTTAATTTTTTTTGTGATCTTTATTTAAATTAGTCTACATCTAATGTTCTCTTTGTGGGCATCTTAAGTGGGCATTTATTTTAAATATTTTATAACAAATACTGCACTAAGTTATGCAAAAAACACAGTTTTGTATCGCGCAGCCCGGACACAACGACCAATATTTAAACCTAGACTTGTTTAAGCTGCTTAAAAGAATTATAAAGAATATCCATAGCGCTAAACAACCTGCATTATGAGCACACCTCACGTACACGCCTTCATGTACATACCCTCACTTTCGCACCATCACACAACAAAGCGGAATTAAATATTACTTAGTTAGATGTTATTAAATCATTTTTATAGATTTTTTTAAGTTTGAGGAGCGCACACTTCTACACTGCTCAGTATGCTTATGACAAAATTTCCGGGCTCACAGGCTGTCGTATGGCGGTCGCATCAATCTTTGCCTACAAGAGTCTCAAAGAGCACTTACAGAACTAGATTGCTTAGGCCATGACAGAATGAAATCTGTAGTTTTAAATGTGCAGTTTAACTTGTATATAACCATGGTGATAATTGTATTTTCAGATACTGAGTTAGATCGATTTCCTCCTGTATACTATCTGGATGACTATGACAAATGCCTACTCAAACCACATGCAGTTTACTGCACTGTTGATGCCTATCTGGTGTCGGATACACCTAGTGATTTACTTACTATTATTCAGGTAGATACTAATTCATTCAGCGCTTTATTTATTTTCTTTTTAAAAGATGGATTTTGATGCGGTTTTTTTACTAGATAGAGTGATTGAAGGAGATGGATGGAGAAATACTGATATTTTTAAGGTTTCTAATGTGATGTCGTAAATCATAAATAATTACATTTTTTCCGCTTACATTGCGAACCCGAGATTTATCAAAATAATGTACTAAGTATTGTACACATTGAAAAGGTCTACAGAAAACTCCGCGATGGTATATGTCTATTTCTCATGGATATCCCACAATACAATTTTTTGTCATTTACTTTTTACGACAAATATTGGCTTATTTTGGAAGCGATTTTAACCAATAAAGCATGAATCCTTATCCAATTAAATACATTTTTGATTTAATATAGATCTGTATGGTCCTTTACAGCATATGATTTAAATGAATATTTTCGAAGATATTACAAATTTAAAAATTGCGGGACGCAGCGCGTCGGAGTCCGCGGTTCTCGCTATACTCTATAGCACTTTGAATTTAGTATCAGCATTGCATCGCATCGGTGCGAAGCCGGGGCGGATCGCTAGTTATTTATAATTTTGTGTTTACAGGAATATTCCCAGCATCGATATACTCATTTTAATCACTCATATATAACATATGGTGTTTGCCTTACATCCACATGCATTAACTATACAAATTTGGACCGAAAACAGAACCTTGAGAAATGCCTTAACGAAACACTTTTGAAGGATTATTCACTTAAAGCAAGAGTTAGAGAGCTATCTTGCGCTAAACGCGATGAATTTCAAGTGGACGCGTTAGATATAGTCGCTGCATTCATATTTTTCAGTATATTATTAATTAATGTCATAGGAACCGTGGATGATGTATTTTCAAAGGAACATTCTGGTACGTGATTCTACTTATTTTAAGAACCGGAAATTAGCTGGTTTTGCTTTATTGTAATTGGATAATTAATTTGGTAGGATCATAAACGCTGTAGACCAATAATAATCTGGCAAGTTCGTGAACTTTCTTTCGATTTATATTGAAAGTAAAAAAATAAAGGGTAATAATACTTCTCACATTGCAAGACGAGATTTGTGTTAACTATGATTCCCGTATGTCAAACCCAAAGCATTTTTGGTGGACAGTAATCAGACTAAGCGTTATATACGTCTCACATAAATAAATAAATAAACATTTGACAAACACGTACTGAATTTTGACAAACCGAAGTAATAGCAATAATAGTAAGTCTCGGCTCTAAATTTTACTCTTAAAAACGCAACGACACATCCTGTCGCTGCCGTGATACTGTAGACAATTTTAGACAAGCCGAAAATAGATATAAAATATTTTGAAATAATATATATGTCATTCTTTTTAAATCTCTGAAGAAAATATAGAATAGAATATCTCACTTTCAGGTTTTAGTTTATTAAGATGTTTCTCGATTCGTAGAAATTGGAATAAATTAGTTGATACCAGCGAAAATAATGCCTCGCTACAGAATAGATTGAAGTGCCTTGATGGATTAAGGTAAGACGGAAATATAAAATGCTCTTGATATTTTACAAAAAAACATTTTAACATGTGTAACGAACATATAATCGTACAGTAAAAGAAAAGATGGATCAAAACAGGATCACCTACTTGCCTATGTCAAATCCAATACATTATTTAATGAACTTGTACGGAAGTCAGACTAAGCGTTTAGATTCATTCCTTAATCTTACCTGAGATCGTTAAGGCCCTATCCCAGCACGAATTGTAGGTATTTGAGGATGTGAAGTAGAGGAAGCGGTGGACGGCTAGCCCCGCCCACTGCGGGGTACCCGTTTTTGCAGATAAGTTCTCATAATGCTTCTTACGAGCAAATGATGACAACTTCCGTTTTTTATTATCCTTGTTGCCCATTTTTCCGGTTTGATACAACCTAAATTACCTCGGTAATTATTAAAAATACGTAAACGGTACCGTAGCACTCGCAAATTCGGCAAGCGTCCTTCCGTAACAGTGTCTCGGGGTGGACTGCGGGGCGCAGTGGAGAGCTGGATCACTGAGGTGCGCCGGCCCGTAATAACAATTTGTTATGTAAAACATTAAATTAATGTAATTTTATCAATTTTTTTTCTGAAATGGATTTCTTGGCTTGCGATAAAAAATATCGTATAAGTTTCAAAATCATGTTCTGTATACATTTTTGTCATAAAATGAATTCAAAGTGTCAAAAATTGGCTATGTTTGGATTTTTTTCTATCGAGCGAAGTTATTTAAATCGTGTATCGATCTTTCAAATTGGATACATAAACTACTTAACTCCACCATATATTTTTTCCATTCGCCCTACTTTAAGAAACGATGGCGAAAAATGGAAAGAAACAATGTACATTTTTGGTGTTTGGCCACCGGATAGGTCCTTAAAAAACGTGCTCAAGTTTGAGTCCAAACCTGTAGCCGGTAAGAGTTTTGAATTTCGTCGTTATAAACAATCGGTTAATTAAAAAAACTATTTTTTTTAAATAATGTCACATATCTTCTAACCAATAGAAAAGTAGAAAATGGCGGATTGTTTACAAATTTCATACATTACATAAAACTTTAATTTTTTTTTAAATACTTAGAGCAAAAATTACTTGGAGGTGTAATATATATTATGTCATTCTTTTAAATCTCTGAAGAAAATATAGAATAGAATATCTCACTTTCAGGTTTTAGTTTATTAAGATGTTTCTCGATTCGTAGAAATTGGAATAAATTAGTTGATACCAGCGAAAATAATGCCTCGCTACAGAATAGATTGAAGTGCCTTGATGGATTAAGGTAAGACGGAAATATAAAATGCTCTTGATATTTTACAAAAAAACATTTTAACATGTGTAACGAACATATAATCGTACAGTAAAAGAAAATATGGATCAAAACAGGATCACCTACTTGCCTATGTCAAATCCAATACATTATTTAATGAACTTGTACGGAAGTCAGACTAAGCGTTTAGATTCATTCCTTAATCTTACCTGAGATCGTTAAGGCCCTATCCCAGCACGAATTGTAGGTATTTGAGGGGGTGAAGTAGAGGAAGCGGTGGACGGCTAGCCCCGCCCACTGCGGGGTACCCGTTTTTGCAGATAAGTTCTCATAATGCTTCTTACGAGCAAATGATGACAACTTCCGTTTTTTATTATCCTTGTTGCCCATTTTTCCGGTTTGATACAACCTAAATTACCTCGGTAATTATTAAAAATACGTAAACGGTACCGTAGCACTCGCAAATTCGGCAAGCGTCCTTCCGTAACAGTGTCTCGGGGTGGACTGCGGGGCGCAGTGGAGAGCTGGATCACTGAGGTGCGCCGGCCCGTAATAACAATTTGTTATGTAAAACATTAAATTAATGTAATTTTATCAATTTTTTTTCTGAAATGGATTTCTTGGCTTGCGATAAAAAATATCGTATAAGTTTCAAAATCATGTTCTGTATACATTTTTGTCATAAAATGAATTCAAAGTGTCAAAAATTGGCTATGTTTGGATTTTTTTCTATCGAGCGAAGTTATTTAAATCGTGTATCGATCTTTCAAATTGGATACATAAACTACTTAACTCCACCATATATTTTTTCCATTCGCCCTACTTTAAGAAACGATGGCGAAAAATGGAAAGAAACAATGTACATTTTTGGTGTTTGGCCACCGGATAGGTCCTTAAAAAACGTGCTCAAGTTTGAGTCCAAACCTGTAGCCGGTAAGAGTTTTGAATTTCGTCGTTATAAACAATCGGTTAATTAAAAAACTATTTTTTTAAATAATGTCACATATCTTCTAACCAATAGAAAAGTAGAAAATGGCGGATTGTTTACAAATTTCATACATTACATAAAACTTTAATTTTTTTTAAATACTTAGAGCAAAAATTACTTGGAGGTGTAATATATATTATGTCATTCTTTTTAAATCTCTGAAGAAAATATAGAATAGAATATCTCACTTTCAGGTTTTAGTTTATTAAGATGTTTCTCGATTCGTAGAAATTGGAATAAATTAGTTGATACCAGCGAAAATAATGCCTCGCTACAGAATAGATTGAAGTGCCTTGATGGATTAAGGTAAGACGGAAATATAAAATGCTCTTGATATTTTACAAAAAAACATTTTAACATGTGTAACGAACATATAATCGTACAGTAAAAGAAAATATGGATCAAAACAGGATCACCTACTTGCCTATGTCAAATCCAATACATTATTTAATGAACTTGTACGGAAGTCAGACTAAGCGTTTAGATTCATTCCTTAATCTTACCTGAGATCGTTAAGGCCCTATCCCAGCACGAATTGTAGGTATTTGAGGATGTGAAGTAGAGGAAGCGGTGGACGGCTAGCCCCGCCCACTGCGGGGTACCCGTTTTTGCAGATAAGTTCTCATAATGCTTCTTACGAGCAAATGATGACAACTTCCGTTTTTATTATCCTTGTTGCCCATTTTTCCGGTTTGATACAACCTAAATTACCTCGGTAATTATTAAAAATACGTAAACGGTACCGTAGCACTCGCAAATTCGGCAAGCGTCCTTCCGTAACAGTGTCTCGGGGTGGACTGCGGGGCGCAGTGGAGAGCTGGATCACTGAGGTGCGCCGGCCCGTAATAACAATTTGTTATGTAAAACATTAAATTAATGTAATTTTATCAATTTTTTTTCTGAAATGGATTTCTTGGCTTGCGATAAAAAATATCGTATAAGTTTCAAAATCATGTTCTGTATACATTTTTGTCATAAAATGAATTCAAAGTGTCAAAAATTGGCTATGTTTGGATTTTTTTCTATCGAGCGAAGTTATTTAAATCGTGTATCGATCTTTCAAATTGGATACATAAACTACTTAACTCCACCATATATTTTTTCCATTCGCCCTACTTTAAGAAACGATGGCGAAAAATGGAAAGAAACAATGTACATTTTTGGTGTTTGGCCACCGGATAGGTCCTTAAAAAACGTGCTCAAGTTTGAGTCCAAACCTGTAGCCGGTAAGAGTTTTGAATTTCGTCGTTATAAACAATCGGTTAATTAAAAAAACTATTTTTTTTAAATAATGTCACATATCTTCTAACCAATAGAAAAGTAGAAAATGGCGGATTGTTTACAAATTTCATACATTACATAAAACTTTAATTTTTTTTTAAATACTTAGAGCAAAAATTACTTGGAGGTGTTCCAATGAAGGTCCCCCGAGACTCCTGCATAATCAGTATCATCAAATTCGTGCGACGAAATTCAAAACCCAACCCCTGTAGTCTCTTCAAAAGATTCTCCTAATTAAAATAAAATAAAAAATTAACCTTTAAGCTCATCAAAGTAGATTAGGAGCATCAGCATATATGGATTCATTCCTTCATTTAGAAACGAATACCACAGACATTTTTTTTTGGGTCGGGGGTTTAAAAAGAAGCGTAAACTAACTGTCTATGAGAATATTGCTTGTGGCGGCGTCCATGCGTCGGGTTGTCTCTCTCCCTAAAAAATGGCGAGGGGGCCGATGGCTGGCCATGCATCATACTCGTGAACGGGTGCTACTTGTGGTGACTAGTCGGACTTGAATTTGTGTATGCGGTGATGTTAGTTATTTCGTCTACGTATTTGTATGTTGTTCCCACGAGAATGTAAGTGCGTGCTTCTATTTCACCATGCACACTGTTGATAGAGGACAAATCTTTGTTTTTTATTTTCTTTCTTTATTTTTCGATATTTCTTTTTAGTTTATATATATATATATATATATATATATATATATTATTATAGTTATTTACTTAAAGATGTCATGTATACATGGTGTAATGGTTGCAGCTCCGTACAAATATTTTGTAAAACAAAATGTTGGTGATTAAAAAGAGTGGCGGAGAGATTATTGCCAGTTCTTCTCGTCCGTTCTGACTGGCAGTAAATGTAAATTTAGAATCATTTACTATGTATTTCTGTATAGACGTTCATAAGTGTACATTGTGTTACCTTAATAAATAAATGATTTTGAATTGAATTGAATATTTACAAAATGTATTTATTTTTCAGGACAATCCTTCTAATAGCAATATTGATTGTTCATGCTTCTATCACAAGTTTAGTAAAAGTTTCCAACACATCCGTGGTAGAGAAGGTAATATATTATATAAATAGTAATACAATTTATGAATAGTTTAAGGTATATTCTTATTACTTTTGAGGTAAAGAATAAATGTCTTTATATAATTGGTTTACGGGAGTGCATTAAACAAATATTTCATAAAACTCACATATGTACATTGTACATATGTGACAAATAACCCGGAATTTATTATATTATCTTTTATCGTCGAGTTTAAACTAACTGTTGTGGTCTGTGGCAGAATGACCAGCGCTGTGGAACACGTCTGCTCCACAGCATAATGCTCTCCCAGGGCCAGTTACTACCACTTCACACATTCATTCATTCATTACACACTTAAAATCTAACTTATTCCTTTTTTTCATAATTTTTTATTATGTTATTTTTTTATTATTTGTTGTGTCTGTGTATATCTATGTATGTCTGTCTGTCTGTATGTCAGTTTGTTAAATATGTATCATGAAGAATAATGAAATGACTTGCCTGGAAGCGAGCCGCTCGTTGCAGCACGTTTTCTAAGTTTTATTTTTAGCATAAAGTGTTATAATTCGTTTAAAGATTTGTCTGTTGATAATCTCTTGGAATCACATTTAATTTAAATCCTCCTCCGATAGCTTTCTCACTGGTGAGCGTTGTAATGTTCCCGATCCAGTTGTGATAACAACACTGCATCCATCTCTGACCTCCAGCTTGATGAATGGCGTTAGAGACTTGGTCCATCATCAGGTCCCCTGGTCTCATTCCTTCCATTACCCCTCATTTTTCAAGGGGCCGAGGAATTAATACGTCTTCTTTTTAATAGATTTTTGACTTCACACCAGTGCATTTTCTGTTTAATTTGCCGTTAACTATGTGTTGCTTCTTCTTTATATCAAGCTTTGTGCTTGCGTATAATTTGCAAACCAGTGACGACAACAACGAAACTTGGACATGTATTGGAAAACGAATTCTCAAACGATGGTGCAGGTAATTTACCTTAAATATTATAATTAATAGATATAAGGTACATTGTTTAGTAGCCTTAAAGCCAATTGGAGAACTCGTAAATTTAATATGTATGTTATTACCAAATTAATAATCGGAGCTTCCACCTGCAAATAAATACCCATCACAAAGAATAAGTAAGGTGAAATTAAATTCATTAGATTCCAATGAGAGGTGCCGGAACTCCTAGGTTGGTTTTTGCAGACGCAATTTGGAAAATTCTGCTAATTTTGAACCTTGGGAATGAATAAGGGATGTCAAAGGGATTTTGAACTGTAATTTTAAATTTCCTAAGTCGCTGATGGTATGGGTGCCTATGAGATTTTTATCAGACAAAAAATTATACTTCGATGTTTTTACTTAAAATCATGTTAATAACAACAATTTGAATGACAGATTAACACCAGCTTACGCCGTTGCCCTTTTGTTTATAATGACCTGGTACAGACATCAAGGAGATGGACCTTTTTGGATGGTTAGTAACATACCTTTGTTTTGATTTATTATTTTTGAGGACAAGCGATCTCTGAACTGTTAGAATTTAACGCACAATGTGTTGAATTCCTGACGTAGCACTTGCTCATACATAAACAGCATAGGTGTGTTTCTCTGATTTTGATATCAAGTCCAGAAGACAACTAAATAACTATATTGTCTGTGGAACAAGGACGGAATATACGAACATTCAAATATATAGTAGTATAGTATACGCAAATATTCCGCTAAAATCTAATTCAAATTCTAAATTTAAAATTACTTAAGCAGTTTTGGCCAAATGGGCCATTTTTCTTTGTCTTTAAAATCTGTCGTATTTTCAAAATGAATTTACTACCATTGATATACAAAAAACCCAAGATGCACAGTCTCGAATAAAAGTAACACTCGAAAGTGTCCCGAAACACTATTTCTGTCTCTTTCTATAAGTTACAAGCATATATTATTGCAAAATCAACCTTACGCGAATTGTTTAAAGTTGTTATTACAACGCAGTGTACTTAAAGCAATAAAATTTTACGACCGACCGTGGTCGGTAGGACAAGGTATTGAGTGGAGTCGAACATGACTTTTTTATTTACAACTATTTAACATAATTTTAAATTTATCCGACGTTTCGCGTGCTTCACAGCGTGCTTGGTCACGGTGACTGAAGACAAAAGGTGTTGGATGTTAAATAGTTGTAAATACATAACTTTAATCCGGTTAAAAAGTTTTTTCTTTAAATTAAAAAAATGTTAAATTGGCTACCTCCTGACCTGCACTTTATATAGCGTAAATATATTTGTCAAAAACTACACACAAAAAAGTTCAAAAGTACATAAATTTGTTTATAAAAAAAAACACAAATAAATAACATCGACTCCACTTATTAGAACAGGGTCATTCTTATAATGCGACTAAAATAAAAAGAAGACTGTAATGCGTTGTTCTAACACTGAACAAGCAGCCATTGAAGTTGGCCGTATAGAAGTTTGTGCGTTGAATGAAGTTTTTAGAAAAAATAAATAAAAATCACACATTGCTTGTTATAATCAGTCATAAAAACAACAAAAACTAATCAATAAAGTTTTTTTAATTACCGAAAATACGATATCCCATCCTTTTTTAGCCTTCTTGACGTTATAATTTTACAATTTCTCACAGAACACTTTGGCATTTTTAACAACTGCTCCCAGACGCGAGCGACGCGAGACTATTTGAAATGAGCGCACAATTTAGAATGTTGCGCTCATTTTTTGAGGACGTTTTTTAGACGTTGAGTGTGCATCTTGGGTTTTTTGTATATCAATGATTTACTACAGATAGTACCGTCATTCCATTTTGCTCCACTGTCCGCACTCTCACGCACTAAATAGGTTACGCAATTTTTTGCCTATCTCTACTAAAATTTCTCTTGCTCAGTCTCTTTTACTTTGTATTCACGATTACGCTGATGTGTTGCTAAAAAAGCTAGCTAAAGCTCAACTAAAGCTCAACTGGTGACCATTGGATTGCGACGCAATATTACAACTTCTCTATAATTTTCTTTTTAATCCTAAAACTCCCAGTTACTTAAATCAAAATTTTATGTTCCTTTGTGGTGGTACTTATATTTTGCGTTCCATTGATAGACTAATTCTTGAAAATCTTACTCATAAAACTGAATTCTATCACTCCTTTACTGTGCAAAGTATCCTGCTGGAACTCTTTACCTCTTGATATCAGACAGCCTGTAAATTTATTTAAAAATCTTCTTTTTGGGCTTTTATCTTCTTCCTCGTAATTAACTACTGATATGTATTAATTGTGAGTCAGTAATTTTAGATTTAAAAAAAAAAAATATTTTAGTTTTAGTTAGTGTTACATGTTATTTTATGCTCTTTTTCTTAATTATTTATACACTTCCTATACTTTACCGTCTGTAGGTGTTTCTTTTTCCATACTAGGGTTGCCTCGATGAAATTGTTTGTTATCTATAAGGACGGCCATTGCCTAATCACTTATGTAACCAGTTTTTTATATGTATGTTTAAGTGTAAATAAATATATCAAATGGTAGATACTGGTGCCCCTAGGGAATCCTATACTGTACTATATGCTACAGCCTATCCTGGCTGGCGCACGTTTTTCATTTAACAGGGGGCGTTTTTCATTAAACGGGCAGAATGGTCACCTGATATTAAGTGATACCGCCACCCAGAGACACTCATATTGCCAGAGGGCTCGCAAGTGCGTTGCCAGCCTTATAAGAATTGATACGCTCTTTTCTTGAAGGACCCAAATCCCAGTTCTATATAGTGTGTAATAATTATTTTCTTTCTTTCTTATGTAGGTAGGGAACTTAACACTGTAAACATAGTGAGGAAACCAGTATGAGCCAAAAATCTGAGTTCAAGATTTTTTACGATTTTTATTTTTTTATTTATAGATATGTGATTTTATTTTCAAAATGAATTCTCTTTACAGAATATTTACAAGGACAGGATAGAACCATGTCGAAGTATAGGATGGTATAACATGCTATACGTAAATAACTTCGTCGATGGTTCAGTATGCATGCTGCAAGGTTGGTATGTTATTTTTGATTATATTACAAGCGAGCCTATTACGTAATTTCGATAACGATATCAAGATGAAAGGAAATTATTTAGTCTTAGTCCTAAGTTTGGCTTCCGCTGTAAAGAAATAGACAAATATTTCTTTACAGCGAAAGAAATTATTTTTATAATAGCAATTCTTTGTGAGTGCTAATTCGAAATTTAAATTGACGTGTTAAATTGTATTCATTTAAGGATTTTAAGTTAATACAGTTTTCGTATTTAATTCTCAAGATGTGTTACTTAAAACGATAAACAGCCGAAATGTGTTTGAAAAATCCAAGAATTTTTACTATGATAATACTTAATACTTTATTAATGTATAATATGATCGTGAATTCAAGACTTTGCATTAAAAAAAATGACAGGCACTAAAAAAAGCCTTGCGGTATCAATACAAACCCCGAAATATTTTTCAAAACGAATCCAATTTCTACTCCTTATTTCTGTTGGTAATTATTTTATTTTTATTAACTTAATCATAAGTCAAACTAAGTATAAAATAATAGCGTCTAAATAATTTTTGTTTAAAAATATTATTTTTGTATGAACGTCCCTTTTAATTGGACGAACTTTTTCTAATCACAATTTTTTTGTAAAATTTCTAGGTATTTAGCAGCTGAAATGCAGTTACATCTTCTTGGACTTGTTGTATGCATCTTTTTTAAAGGATTACCGAGAATACGTGTTCTAATTGTACTGTTTATTATTGGGTTACTCATACCAGGGGTACTCACCTACATTTATGACCTGGATATGCAATTAACACCATCTGCCGAGTGGGTATTTTTATTGTCTTGTTCTCGTATTATAGTCACATGAAGACAGAGAAGCATTTTTGCTTTAAATTTTTGCAACACGCTTAAAACAATAATAAATATTTTTATCAGGCGTTATTTTTTACAAGTAAAATCTGTAGCGGTCTAGTTAGTCATAAGATTTTTATAGATAGCACGTGTATATAAAATATAAAATTTATCTAATATAGTGTTTCAGCGGCATATGGACTGAAAATTCAAAACCTATTTTAACTAAACTTTTGTTTGTCTTATAAATTAGATTGATGTAAGTAGAAAAGAGGGCATGACCTCTTGCTTAGTAGTTATGTACTTAGTGTACTCATATATCAGAAGCGCTATATCCAAGACGCATAGCAGGTACTCATCGTAAAACCTTAGTTCATATACGTATATAAATTTGGCCTTAATGCATTAAAAACTAACGATTACTAATTAGTTAGTTAGATTATGTAGATCCAATTGGCACAAATATTTCTATGCTATGACTTTTACTTTTATTTACTACTGCCGTGGCGCGACTGCTTCTTCAAGAGGGTTATGTGGGACGCGCTATTGTGCAAACCCACTAAAGCCCTAAGGTGCCACCATCGTAGACCAAAGCCTTATCCACTTCCCGACACGCGATACGACTGTTGCATCCGCCTCCGTCCGTCCACGCCCATTGTCAGTTTAGTGCCATGATACGTTGTAGCCATTGCGTAAATTAACTATATTAGTGTGCCCTAATTTAGTGATTTAGAAGTTATGTTTATATAAGGCGAGTTACCTGCAGTCAAACTGCGTAAGCAGTTTTGCAGAGCATGGTTTGAATGAAGGTGTAATTTTTTTGTGAATAAATATATTTACATACAAACATACATACCTTAAGTCTGTAATTTAGCCATTACATTTAGCCAGTAATGTACTATATTATTTAATGAACGACTCTAAGTGTGACTTTTAGATTACGGATTGATTATACCAACCTTATATTGACAATATTGTCACTATGTATACATACTTGTAATAATCAATCATTATTATTTACCTTCATCCAAACTTAATTATATTGTATTTCAGGTTATTTCGCCAGTACTTCCTGCCAGACCCAACCTTTCGCCATGTGTATCGGCATAGTTTCACCAACATAGCATGCTATGTCATGGGTCTCGCAATGGGCCTCCTGACATATAAATTGCAAAGGACGAATTTTGACATTCAGAATTATAAGGTAATAATAAAAACTATTATCATACACGTCAAACTCAAACTCAAAATAACTTTATTTAAATAGGTAACCAAGTACACTTATGAACGCCAACAAAAAAAATGTTTAATTGATTTTAAATTTACATTTACTATCAGTTCGCAAGTCAAAGGCGTAGAGCGGGCAAGAAGAACTGGCAAGAAACTGGCCGCTTTTTAATCGCCAAGTGTTTAGTCTTACAAATTGATTGTAAGGCAGCCACAAGTATTTGAACTGGAGCAAATCAATTCCAAGGATTATGATGAAATGAAATGAAATTAAATAGTTTATTCTTGCAAGTAGGACTATATAAATCACTTTTACAATGTCATTATAAACTAGATGAAGTCGACATTTCCTAACTGACTGCCCTGAGAAGAAATGTCGAAACAAACTCGGGGGTCTTAGTCTCTTTTATAGTCCAGATAATACAATAATAAATTAATAAATTGGTGTAAACAAATGCAGATTATTTACTGGACTGGTCTTTGGAAGAAAGAACCAGATCGATCTGAGCAAGCCTGTGCCAGCAGACGGCAAGCATGCCCCGAATAGCTCATGCAGCTCAACCATTTTTGAGGGAGCTGCACAACCCGGTACACAACAATCATCATTTAAAAAATTTACATAGCTCTACATTTCGACTTTTTGCTAAACGTTTTTGATTGTGTACTTGATAAATGGTATTTCCATGTGTAGCAGTCACATAAACCAAAAACAAAATAAAAAATCTGTTACATTGTTTCTCCCTTAAAGCCTGAAACTCGGCTTTTGTGTTTAAGGTATTAATAATAAGAAAACTATTAACAATAATCACAGAGATTCACAGGTTCGCACGACTTCAGGATCACGCATTTTTTTAATATATAATAGGGGGGCAAAAAAGCCTGTGGGAAAAAGGGCAGTCATCGCAACCTATAGACACCCATTTTCAGTGGGTGCGTTGCCGGCCTTTACGCTCTCGCGCTAAATCACAAAACGAATGCTGGAATATAATAATAGTAAATTTTTTATGAACTTTCAAAAATATGTAACTAATTTGTTTCAGAAATGGATTCCTCTATATTATTTAGCTATATTATTAAACACGGGAATTATGTATTCAGCATCAATAAATTACCAGGAAAGACCCCGCTTGTCCATTACTACACGAGTGATTATGTCAGCAGTAATGAAACCGTTGTTGACCGCCAGCACCAGCGTCCTTGCTCTTGGTGCCATTTTTAAATATGAAAGTATGTAAACTCGCATATGTAAGGTCACCCGGGGCGAAAGCAACTAAAAATTTATAAATTGGTACTTTGTCGTCCTCTACCATTAGCTACCTAATTATGATGGTTGTTTACATGAACTTACTTTATTCCATGCCTTTCATTGAATAGTTCCGACATAAAGTACGTGAAAAATAGGCTTAAGTTATTGAATAATTTACATTCTTGTTGAATAAGAGCACTAAAAGTGACATTTACCCCACCTTGAGGCTAATGCAACTATCAGTTAAATGACCTTGTTGTAATCGTAATCTATACGTTTGGAATAAGGGTATATATAGTTTCACACTACAGGTATCTGAAATTGGTATCTAGATGCTGGGAATAAGGCTCAGTTTCCAGAAAAATTAATTTAAACTTTTTATGGGGCGAATGCGACTGCCTCCCATACTTGCTAGTGTTGGACAGATACGTACTACTAAATTTATCGATAAATCTTCGTGAAAAAAAATTCGATGAAAGGACCGAAAAATTATTAGTCTGATTTAAGGTAAAGAATTAAAATGCGATTCATTAAAAAATAAATCTTCATAGTAAAAGGTTTTAACATTTCTTATAATCAAATAAACATCTAAGGACAGTAAGTATAATAGATAACATGAAAGTAAGTACAAAAACGCAGTCTTGCTAAAGTTATTTTTTGGGAATTAACATCAACATTTTTGCTTAATGTCTAGCTGACTTAATAATATTGGCATTTAATAATGCCACATTATGTGAGTAATCATTAAACCTAGGATGATATTGATCAGTCCAGTAATTCTTACTGCCAATTTCTGAATTGAGAGATTCACTGGGCAGATGCGTAAGTATCGTTCTGTCTCTGCAGATTAACAAAATCGTAACTTTATGTAAAGGCTTTCATAGTTTTATAGTTTGAATGTATTTTGTGCACGCCTAATCTGCCTTTCAATAACACGTATTATTAAGTTTTCTATGTAAATAAATTCAATTAAATTATTAACAAAAACAATATATAAGTTTAAAAAAATACGTCACAGATACCAAGGTAAATATTTTATGCAAATAGATAGTGAACTTCACTTGTTGAAATATCGACACGGAACTTCACTAGTGATTTGATTTTTTCATACAAATACGATGGGGCTATTGCAACTGCAAAAATAGTTGCAATTACCCATCTGCACAAAAATTTGAGGTTAATGTAACTATGTCAATAAAATGTTAATTAAAAGACTCAGCCTTTAACCAAATATACCAAAAGCACTTACGTTTTATCTTTATGTTAGGATGAACCTTCAATTTGGCTGGAAATAACGTGAAATATTTTTTATGGCACAAAACTAAACAGACGGCGCCGCAAAACTTTGCTCCAAAATGGCGGTAGTCAAAAAATGCTCTGTCAGTACAACAGTTAGCGACTTAAAAGCTCCATCTAGACTTTATAAAAAAAAGTAATAATTGCTCTACTCTTCAACAGATGGCACGTTTTAAAAAAATCATTAAATTGTGAATAAAATCAATTAGTCACTTTAGCCCCATAGTTGCTTTCGCCCCGGGTGACCTTATATGAATATGCTCTTTGAATCGAAATTGAATTTGGAGAAAATCCATTATAAAATCTCTTTAGTAGTTTTCGTTATTTCTTTCGAAGTGTGTTATTTCCATATACACAATTCTTTATTCTAACCTTTCTATGGCCATCTTTCTTTTCAAACTCATACTCAAAATAACTTTATTCATATAAGTAAACAAGTACACTTATATATTTTTGAGTCATACAAATTGTTTGAACTGTAGCAAATCAATCCCAAGGATTAGGATCATTTAAATATTCGCCAAATTTATAAAAAGCTTTATCGATTAATTTACGTTTAACGAAAGCTTTGAATTTATTCAGTGATAATTCTCTAATTTCACTTGGGAGTAGTTGTAAAAACGAATACAATTTCCATATAAGGAGTGGTTTATCTTCTGGAGCCTGATTGGTCGTTTTCTTTCTATATACTGTAAAAATAGGATCACTTTATTTCATATCGACACAGTAATAACAAAGTGTATCTTTACAAACTGTTTTTAATTGCAATATATTTTAGGAAGTCTCTGCGGTCTTCTTGAATGGCGAGGATGGACTGTGCTTAACAGACTTGGTTATTGTTGCTACTTAATTAACTTACCTTTCATAGATTATCTTCTTGGCTCTGAAGCTTTGATACGAACAGGATATATTGTGACTGTGAGTAGTGAACATTAATTACCATATTAAACTCGGCTTTTGTTGACAAAGACAATATACTAGACTAGACTATAATTAATACCTATACTTTATATTTTTATAATATAATATATTACAATAAATTTATTAATTGGAAATTAATTTTACTTCCCATACCAGTCTTAAAAAATAAAAAACAAATTTCAGCTCACGGCGTCCTTTGGAATTGTCACCGCGACATTTACGCTGGCGCTATTTTTGTGGCTTCTAGTTGAAAACCCATTTGCCCTAATAACGAACGAATTCTTCAAAGAACGAAAACACGTTGGGAATGGCTCAATTTCGAATAAAATCGGCAATGGGACATCTTCAAACAAAGTCGGCAATGGGACATCTTCGAACATTGTCAGCAATGGGACATCTTCAAACAAAGTCAGCAATGGGACATCTTCGAACATCGTCGGCAATGAGACATCTTCGAACATTGTCGGCAATGGGATATCATCGAGCCATGTCGGCAATGGAACATCTTCAAATATAGTCGGCAATGGGGCATCTTCGAACAATGTTGGCAATGGGACATTTTCAAACAAAGTTGGCAATGGGACATCTTCAAATAATGTTAACAATGGGACATCTTCGAACAATGTCGGCATTGAGACATCTTCGAACAAAGTAGGCAATGGGACATCTTCAAACAATGTCGGCAATGGTACATTTTCAAACAATGTCGGAAATGGCACATCTTCGAACAATGTCGGAAATGATGTATATTTATGTGACAAAACGGTTGACGGCATTGCTTCTGACAAAAAAAATATATGGAATATATTTTTATATATATATGGAAATTGATTCAATTAAATAAAGTTAATTATTTAATTTCAATTACATAAATCTGAGGCCCAGACCTAAAAATGTTGTAGCGTCACTGATTTACTTTACATGAATGGGTTGGGAACATTAAAAAAAATACTTTAAATTGATAATCAATTTGTTTATGTTAATATTCACACTAAACACGCAGATACATCGCAATAAAACATGCTTTATCATAATAATTACCATAACTAGCAAATTAATATAAATGATGTCAGCATACAAAATGTCGACTAGCTTTGTATTTCAAATTGTGATATGTTATTATGATAATTGTAACATAATATATAGCCTAGAAATAATAAATAAAATATAATCTAATGAAAATCCATTCCTATCCAACATTTAACGTTCTTAAGAGCGGGCACTAACCAAAATCACTCATCGTAGATTTGATTTTATCTAAGTATGTGATGCTTGAATTAAAAACAATAAAAATGTAGTGATCCTTCACTACAACTTCAATTGTTGACTTTAATTAAAATCACAATACAATATAAATTCCTCAATACAAAAATTAACATAAAGTCACCTCTAACTTTTGTCTAATGTCGTTTTTATTGAATCATGGGATTAGGAAGCCAAAATTATTTATTTATTTATTAACACTTCGTTGCATACAGCAATACAATTGACTTAAATGAAAAGGAGGGCAACTGGCGGCCTTATCGCTTTGGAGTGATCTCTTCTAGGCAACCACTGGAGATTTTTTTAAAGTTAGATATAGTAAGCAGGAAGTGCAAAAATTCATAAGATAAAGTTATTTAGACAAAACTAATGGGACATCACAAAGTAATTAAAGCATATGCAAACAATATTTTAAAAAAATAACACTAGAGCGGACGCAGGGAGACGCGCGGGTGATCTCATTAATTTTGATAGGCTAATGCGCGCACTTAAGTTTAGTACATTATGTTACCCATATAAATTTTGATTGTATGTTACTCTTAGTACACAATACCTATATGTATACATACATAGTTTTTAAATTAGGTGTTTATAGTCTGGTGGAAATACAAAGGATTCACCAGGCGTCCAGCATGACGAAGAATCTTACAGCTAACACTAATAATATCTTGTTCACGCATCAAAAAAATTTTGGTACTACGAACATTAATCAAACCATTGAGAAAACATGTGGAGCATATTTGAAAAAATAAATACATTTGGCAGCACTTAATAAACGTTATCATTTTTAATTACATAGTACAATTTTAACGCAATTAGTACATATCGATTCCATTCATAGTTTTTTTCATCTTCAAAAAGTTTCTATTATAAGCAACTCCAATTGAAAAAAAAATCTTGAATACAGCACCAATAGCAATCCCGACGTTTTTGTTTGCGATTTTGGTATAGCTTGCGATCTCGGGGTACATAAACTTAAGAATATAGTCTGGAGTACAGATAATAAATTACCTAAACAAAATGCATAGAATCACTGTAGGTTTTCATTTATATAATAACTTATAATACTATCTTATGATTAAAGAATATATTAGATACGTTTAATGTATCACCTTAAAGTTTTTGGCATTCGAATGCGCCTTGAATCCAAAGCTAGATTATTTGGGGCCAGATTAAAAATGGATGTAACATGTCAAATGTATCAAGTCAAAATCTAATACAGTGCCACATACATTTCTTGGCCGGTAAGAGCGTCGCTGTCATGGATATTAGTATTGCCAGTAAATAAAAATTAACCATTATAATGGGAATAATTTTATAAGTCGTGCAGGCGAACTTAATAATTGATTGACAAGTCCTTATGAAACAATGTATTCTACTAGTAATAGAAAATACAGTTCTAGGCTACAAAACTGTATTTTCTAGATGAAAATAAATGTGACACAAACTTAGGAACAACTGATATCATAGGTTATGTTACCTGTACTATTAATATAATATCTTTTACGATACCTAGCAAACAGAACCGTTCAAGAATTAAATTTTGCTATTAATATTATATATTATTAATAATGCAAGGAATAAAAATAAATACATTTTAGTTCGATTTTTATTAGATGTTGGTAGATAGTTAAACTATTTATTGTTCACACCAAGAAATTGAGAGCTAACTGACAATGTCAGTCTGACATTTAAAAATGGCGACGGAAGTACTAATTACAGCCGCAGGCCAAAAGTATGTGGCACTATACGTTTTTGTTATTTGATATATGCCGAAATTCATGGTAATTCTAGGCTTTGAATCATACTCTTAGAATTGCACTATATCGACACCGGGCCTTGTTATTCTCCACTTATACTTAAACCTTAATAAAATCATTGACGGTACATTAAGGATGTTGTTTTGAAGAGACGAACTTTACACCATATATAGTTTTAACAAGCACACCTTTAGCAGCATATATTTTGACACAACCACTGAGTATAAATAAAAAATTGCTAACTAAATCATCAAAACCATATTGTCTCCTTAATTTTACGCTTGTATTGCGGTGGTCGTATAGTGAATAGAGACTCCGCAAATATTCTGAAACATAATGAAATTTCATTTTTCAAAGTCGTGTGTTTATTCCGTCTCCACTCTTTGGCGTTTTCTTAGAGAATTCCTTGATGAGACGTATAAAGGGAATCTCCACCATTAAGGATATAGGAACTGCTAATATGAAGGATACTACAGTGAGAACAATCAACGCTGCTATCTGAAAGAAAAATGTTTTATATGATAAATAAAATTAAAATAAATCAGTGGCGCTACAATCTCTTTAGGTCTGGGCCTCAGATGTCTGTTTCATGATCATTTATTAATCTAATAGGTAAGTAGGTGATCAGCCTCTTGTACCTGACGCACGCCGTCGACGCATTACATGTTAGTGCCAGCTCTTAAAATTAAATAATTAGTAAAACTACCATTAGATATTTATTGAAAGACTAGTACGACATTAACAATCTAAGATAATTATTAAAATCACTAATACACTCACAATATAAAGCGGCGATGAAGGAATTAGTGTAGTGATCACCGACGTGGTAATCCTGATGATAGGGAAGTGTATTAAGTATACGCAATAGGACAACTTCCCTGGTATCATCCAGCCGTCCCAATTCATTATCACGCGGAGAAAGTCTGGAAATCGGAGAATTTATGAACAAATACCATATGATGTACCTTTACTTTTGCATTGCGTACGAACATTGCATACAAACAATTACAATTATTATTATTTAACATCGAATTAAACGCCGTAGTTTTCCAGTCATATGATATTAATAAAAATATAGATATACATAGATAGAGAAAGAATAAGAGTAGAATAAATGCCGTCCAAATGAGAGCGATAGGAAGTGAGAGTGTGTGAGTGTGTATGGGTGTGTGTTTGTGTGTGTGTGTGTGTGTGAGTGTGTGTGTAAAAAGTAATTGTAAGATACGTGAGCAGTGTGGGTTAAAGAGGACGTAATGATAAGGATGCGAAAGGGAATCCTTAGGTTGCAGTTAACAAGTAGGATATAGAAGACAACCCTGGCTGATGGAGTCGAGTTGGGTAGGCCTTATCGTACATACCCAATCCAGGAGATAGATGGATAGATGGAATAATAATAATAATAGGAGAAGGGGAAAGTTCAATGAAAAGTGAGAAAGGTATGTTAGGACCGTAGCAAGTAACGAAGTCTCTGCCTACCCCTTCGTGAAAGAGGCGTGATAATGTAAATAAATAAAAATAATTTCGTTATCAAATATACCTTTCGCTCGATGCCGCCAAGTACGTATGATACTGCGATCCTTTAATATATCCTCCTTTATTTTCAGACCTTAAACCAAAAACATATTATAATTACCATCTAAAAATAAGTATCAGTTTAATTAAATCTCAAGCACCTAACATCTGTTCAATATTTTCTATAAGGGCTCCCACACAAAACTGCGAATTCGCATCGCATCGCAAATATTTGCGAATTCGGACGAACGCACCGCAAGAAGTTCCGATCTGCTTCGCATCGCACATTCTTGCGATATTACGTCATCCTTGGTGACGCCATTTTAGTCCGCTCTGAGACAGCTTTAGAGAAAGACGCGCGGCACCTCCGCCGTTGTTTATAAGAAATTGCGGAATATGATATGGGTTTTTTAATATTTTTAATTGAGGAGCGTCCCGTCCTTTGGGACACAAGTGATGAACATTATAAAAATAAATTTATTAAGCAAGATGCGTGGAAGAGCGTCTGTGAAAGTTTGCATCAGAGTTCATAATCGTAATAAATGGATGAACCTAGAATCTTCTTTTTCTTTTATATCTATTTAACAATAACAGAAGTGCAATTATCTTTTTGCGATCCATCTTACGCGTCCTAAAAACACGTCCAGTACGGCTGACTACGAAGGAATGGTCGCCCTACCAAACGGTTCGTCGCACTAAATCGTATCGCAGAAATTCGCATCGCAAATTCCTGTCGCAGTCCCATCGCAGTTTTGTGTGGGAGTCCTTAAATAAGAGGCAAAAAATCAAATTCAAAGGTCGATAAGGTGGTGATGAGGTTAACTATAAATAGATATTTTCGCCAAGGTTATCTTAAGTCAAATGTTATCAAAGGCCAGTAAGCCTAATAGTAGAGAACCTCCTCGTGCGTTCAGCTCCGGTTTTGGATCTTAGTTTAAAGAATTACAATTTTATTTTCATGAGAACTTAAAAAAAATATGTTTATTATTATGGAATATAAGATATAGGTGTTAAAAGCAGTGTTGGCCTAGTGGCTTCAGCGTGCGACTCTTATGCCTGAAGTCGTAGGTTCGATCCCCGGCTGTGCACCAATGGACTTTCTTTCTATGTGCGCATTTAACATTCGCTCGAACGGTGAAGGAAAACATCGTGAGGAAACCGGCTTGCCTTAGACCCAAAAAGTCAACGGCGTGCATCAGGCACAGAAGGCTGTCTATTAGATTACCAAATGATCATGAAACAGATACAGAAATCTGAGGCCCAGACCTAAAAAGGTTGTAGCGCCATTGATTTATTTTTATAACATACAGGTATCACTTATTCCACGTCATTAAATTTGTTTCGGTAGACATCCCTTCTTATCGGCAAAGAAGACAGAGGGTGTAGGCCGAGAGAAAAAGCCGGCGTAAAAAACTCTCGGTCTGTTATTATGCACGTCGCCATCGGACACATTTTAAATTTGTAATTTATTTTTCTGGCCTTATAAAGTGTAGTTTGTTTGAAAGCTCTTTTAATTTTATTAAATAAAGTAATGTTTTAGATAGTAATTATTAGTACGAAATAGTTGCACGTCCTCACAGTTTACAGATTCCTTAAGATAATGTTTGTTTTGATGATTCTTGTGCAGATAGGGAAACTCGTTCAACGAGTTGTGCGTGTATGTTGGATTTGTTTAAATATGAAAAATAAACTAGTTCAAACTAGTTGTCAAATATAACGAATCTAACCAAAAACACCCATTGCTTACAACATTAGCAAATGCTAATGTTGCTGCACGTATATTCTTAAAAACAGTCTAATTACATTCATGTACATTACCTTTTCGTCTCTTTCTGTCAAATTGTGTTTACGCTTTGATGAAAAGAGACAAATGAGTTCTTTATGGTGCATATACACTAATCTATAGTTAATGACTTGATTATTCTATGCGCAACATGGCTCATACCAAAAAGTTGACTACGTATGGCATAGAATGCCGAACATCTACTTTTCTATACAATAAAATTAACAAAAAAATACATTCAATATGGGGCTAAGATCTATAGAGTGTAACCCTAGATGTAGTATTTATAATTATGTTTACATTAAAACTAAATATTACTTACTTTCAATTTTTAAAATCATTCCTAACATGAAGAAGCCAGCCAAAAAGCCCATAAAAGGTCTTGAAATCATTGCAAACATAGTTCGTACATAAATCGAGTCTCGGGGAGCGTCCCTGTAGAACACCGAACCTCCAATATACATGAAGACTGCTCCGATGGGAATGATAAACCATAGTAGGAAGAAATATTTCTAAAAATAAACGGATTCGTCAATATACCAGTATTTATATTACTTATTAACACAATCGTTCTTAAACACTGCATAATCAAGAGATTATAATAATTTATAAGGTTACACACAAAGTTCAAATAATAGAGAAGAGGTACCCTATTAATTTTTTTTATTTTTTGAGGCTTTTAAGCCTACAGAGTATAAAGTATAGACTAAATATTTTAGAAATGCCTGCGAAAACATCATTGACGTCAATTTACTGTGCTGTGTGGTGGTCAATTTGCAAAAAACCCGCGTTAGTAAATACTAATAAAAACGAATCGCATATGTTGCTAAGCGCAAAACTCGCAGACGCCTAGACCAAATCTATTTGATTAATTCAATCAGCAACAGCATAGCACTCTCACTAGGAAAGAGATTGACTAATTGCACTGGTGAAATAACCTCTGTCACATGTTCTTTCACCAGTAGGTGAATCAGTAGCGATCAATAGAATTTGATGTTATATATTGTGTATTTTGAAGTTATTCTTCTTTTGGCGCGTTAGGGAAAAATGTTGAGAGTAAATTTTTACGATGCGCGCGCACACCGTCACAAAAAACCCTGAAGTTAGCATAGTCAACATTTTAAAATAAAAAATGTCCATTTCTTTAATTATGTAGAGTATTTTTTTGTGATATTTAATTAAACATTATTTAACTTGTAAATGCGTTATTAATAATTTCAACGTATTAAATACCTTTTTTTCATTGTTAGTGTCGTCTACAAACGTTGAATAAGGCGAAAGATAAAAAATTTAAAAAGATTATTATCTTGTTACGCCAAAGAAGTATAACTACTAATGTATTTACATAAATACACACACATGTTTTTTTATATTCTAATAATATTTTTGATAAATAGGTTTCTGAAAAAGTGAGGCGTGAATATGTTTAAAGTTCGAACCGAATTTTAGTATGCTTAAATGTCTGAAGACGTCACAAATCACATGAAAGTAACTCCTAGATTGAATTTTAATCTACGCAAACTTGTAAAAGCACCACCAGTAGTACCACATTATAGGGTAAAAGCCGGATAGTTGCCTCGGACGGATACATGCCCCGGTGTTTAAAAAACTATGTTAGGATTATAAGTTGTATTGGCGCTTTACTACAATAAGTAGTGACTGCCCCTCAGGCCTAAATGCCACGTAAGCCATCGGAATAGACCCAAGTGTTTTGTCCGTGTGAGCAAAAATCTTCCGCGGCGAAACTTTGACGGGCGTTATAATTATATTGGTAAGTAATTTCTATTGAATATTTTTATTACTGATCGTGGTTTCAGTCAACTTTTTGTTTCTTTGCATGCATTAGAGTTTAAATTACACTGTTTATCATGTTTTATTGCTAAATAATATTTATTTATTTCGCAAATAAAAAGGGCAAGTATCCGCATCAAAAAGGATAGTTGCCCTACTTACTGTCGCGGATAGTTGCCCCTAGAGTGACTAAAAATTTCTTAACAAGCAAAGACGGATTTTATTTTTTTGCTGTTTTTTTGATGTTTATTCGAATTTACTTTGTCTCTAACTTGTTGTAAATTAAATAAATATCTACTTCACAGTTATATATATTTATTATAGATAAGCAAAAGCCTCATCAACATCAACTGGACAGAAGATAGCTTAGCACTTGCCTTCGAAAAATTGAGACAAAGTTGGTTAAAGCACAACTTTATTAATGAGAGTAAAATGGCTGGACCTCGATGGCTAAAAAGCTTTCTTGAAAGAAATCCTGATATAACTTTGAGACAAGCTGAGGGTTTATCAATTGAAAGAGCGTAGGGTCTCAACAGAACAGAAGTTGCAAATTTTTTCAAACTCTTAACAACTATTTTAACTGAGAATAATTTGCTGGATAAGTCAGATAAAATATTTAACATGGATGAAAGCGGTGTCCAACTCAATAATAAAATTGGTAAAGTATTAGCTAAGAAAGAGGAGAAAAAATTACTGTTGTTTCTTAATATTTCAAATTGTACTTAATAAAAGATCTCAGTAAATTATAAAGACTGTTAAATAAATAATAAAGATTACTCTATTTGATATAAATTTCTTTCTATCCAAAATAAAAACGCACGAGGCAAGTATCCCCCGAAGCATTTTCTACGCTAAGCTACTATCCGCCATAGTAGGCAACTATCCCTTTTCTGAGAGGTGAAATAAAACGGTATTTATTCAAAACCATTGTTAATTATGTATACAAAAATAGGCTTTTATAGAAGATAAAAGACCTATATTGCGAGATACATACTAAATAATTTTCAGCAAGTTCATATTTAAAAAATATAAAGCTTTTTCGAAAAGTGGGGCAACTATCCGTCTTTTCCCCTACAATATATTGTAACTAGTTTGTATAAAGTTGTACTACCACTTACCACTTTATACTGTCTACAAAATTTCTGGAAAATCGGGCTTGATGATTCTTAATACGCAATAAAAAATACGTATACGATTTGTAGATTACGAAATGTTCCGATACGAAATTCCGGAACATTTCGTAATCTACAATTCAATAACGATTAACACGCGTAAATAATGAAATTCCGCATTGACTTAAGCAAATTATTAAATGGCAAATAAGTTTTGTTTGCCATTATAAAATAAAACGTGACTTAAATGAACATTAATTTGGTCGAGGCTACATAGGTTTTTTTTAATTCCTCGAAAATATAACCGACTGAATGAATTTAAAAGTAATTATTGCTTTAAATGAGCCAAGAATTGAGACAGTAAAGAATAACGTCGAATCGGACTCCTCCGGATTGTTAGAAGTCTAAAATAATTATTATTAATAAAAATCATAGCAAAATGTGTTGCTAAGCCCAAAATTCGAAGACGGCTGGACCAATTCGAGTAATTTTTATTTATTAATTCCTAGAACTCTGAGGAGAAAATATTATTAAGGCGAAACGACGTTCGCGGGTCATCTAGTTGGAAATATCAATGAAATTCAATAATGATTTGATCTTTTTTTATTTCAATTTCATAATATTGTATTGTAGTATATTTTAAGTAAACAAATGCTCTAAAAGTTTAGTAATTTTTGCGTTACCTGCGTGAGTTTAAACCAAATTTTTTCCGATATGAATTAAACGTTAACACAAGATAGATAATGTATGAAATATTGCTTAGTTTAATAATATAAGGGGCATTAAGATTCTCTCACAAAAACGATTTTCTTCAAAATTCAGACCACAAACGTATGCGTAACGCAAAAAAACATTACCATATATTTAAAAAAATGCGTCCAATTGTATACCTCCTCCTTTAGAAGTCTAAATGACCACAGTTGATATAAAGTTACGTTTATGAACAAAATTGATTTGACCTACCTTATATCTTTTGATAGATTCAACTTTTGCCTTCCAAATATTCATAAGTATGTATCCCGTGCTTAATCCGATTATAAAACTGACCATATTCGTGTGGCCTCTTTTGTACACCTCGTTATATGTTTTATCGCTATCGAAGAAGGTACCGCATCCTCTGTAAAGATAATTCAAAGTGGTTTTTTTTTATTAATAATTCTCTACTCACCTGCCATTGCGTCCAGGGACTTTTTCTATTTCTTAAAATTAAAAAAAAAGATACAATATATTAATTACAATAAACTAGTTCACGAATGGCGAGATACGCCCCGGCTAAATCGGTAATATTTTTATTTACAATATTCATGGGCGAGCCGGGGCGCAATTCCTCGCGAGACCCGTTCTTTCAGTTTTGTTTGCCGCCTTAATATATTTAACAATTTTGTCGCAGGACCGTTCCAGGCACGGTCTGTGGTTTATTACCATGTCCTGTAGGCCGTTACGGTCTACAGTCATCTGTATTTGTTGCTCCAGGTCGTGCCTGAACGATGCGAATATAGGGCAATTATAAAAATGGTTTAACTAAAACTGCAAAACTATAATACTGAATATTATAGTTTTGCAGTCTATTACGAAAGTAATCAGTAATATTGTATGAGAAAAAGAAACAAAGATTTGTCTTCTAATAATATTTTATGGTCTCCCAAATCGATAACTTGTTTGTCATAAGCAATCATATTGTTGACATTCCTACTATTGTAGAGGTCAGTGATACTTTAGGGACTGACAGAAATATTATTTATTAAACTAGTTTTTTACAAGGTAAATATCTAGAATTTACTAAATCACATCAAATCAACTCCAATTTACTTATATATACAATTAGACTTTTGGATTCGTCTCTAGTCTCATACCGACTTCAGACAATGCGGTCTCTAAGTCAAATCCCAGTGGGGAAATTTAAAATAGACCATAGCATCGTCATCGCTGTCTCAACAAGCCGCGGTAATCTGAAGAACCTTATGTATTATCCAAACAATAAAACTTACGTCGGTTTTAATAGAAGCATTGGGTCTAAATCCTGCAGATAAGTGTGGACTGCTGGCACCAAAAGACCGACAAGAAACAGCGGCAGTAAAATCCGTGTTGGTCTCTTGATATATCTAAGTATAAGACACAGTACTGCACCTAGGACGTACAACTGCATGTCAGCTGCTATATACCTGTAAGATAACGTTGTATTATTTCTAAATCTGTAGCTTGATACGGGTTCTCGGGTCTTTAGTATGCTTATCCGGCATTAAGGAAAACATTGGGTGGAAGTCGGCAGTTAAAAACAAAAATCAATCAACGTTAAGGATACAAAAATGATCTTTTTTCTTTTTTTGAATGGAGTCTCGCTGTTAGCCTGAATGATCTTGAGAGGTCAGCGGGCTGTTTTGGCCAGAGTAGCTCTTGCTAAATGGGAAAATATGATCTTCTACTAATAGACATATTTAAATAAACGTTTCCAGCGCCATTACAGACTACGAAATTTATGTTATTCAAACATTATATTTGTTTGGTCTATCCTAAGCAAGCTGCAAGTTTAATGGGAACAAAATGTTCCTTCTCTCCGCTTGGTGAGATACAAGGAATTTTTGAAGTTATACTGCTTTTGGCGCGTTAGGGAAAAATGATGAGAATAAATTTTTACTATACGCGCGCACAATGTCACAAAAAACCGACAATGTCCATTTATTTAATTGTGTAGAAATCATTTTTATCTGATATTTAAATAAACTTTATTTAACTAGATAATGCGTCATAATAAAACTTTCAATGTATTAAATACCTTTTTTCTATTGTTGGCGTCGTTTTTTTCTACAAACAGAATAAGACGAAAGATACAATTTTTGAAAAGTTTTTATTTCGTATATTACCAGACATTTTAAATACCATTTAAATAATATCAAATTGACAGTATATAATACAACTTACGGGGAGTAATTGAGTCAATCGGTCCCGTTGTGGTACCATCACGAAAATACTGTTCACTGAGACACAAAAATGTCGGTACGCTTATAAAATTCAAACATTAAAACATTTAAATTGTAATTTATAATTTAAAAGCTGTTGTTAAGAGTTAAAAAATGATCATAAAACAGGTTCAGAAATCTGAGGTCAAGACCTAAAAGAGGTTGTAGCACCACTGATTTATTTTATTTTTTATATGAGGTTCATATAAACTAAATTAGTTTGATGGCATTCTTTTAAGAATACAAAATAAATAATTAAACTCTATTATCAATCCAAATACTAAAGTCGCATTAATTTATAGATTCTTTCGTCTCATTCTGTCAAATTGTAATTAGACTAATATTTTTAGGTAACTAGTTTTTATTAATTACTTTGACTAATCTTACCAGCTGTGCGGCATGCACTGTGAGTGATATATATAGTTGTTAATGTAAAGTACATTAAACCACCATCGATTCCGACAATCAGCTACCTCCACACCAGCTGAGATCTGAAGAATTTAAAAGAAAGGTTAAGGAACTATCCGGTCGCCAAACACCAAAAATGTACGTTGTTTCTTTCCATTTTTCGCCATCGTTTCTTAAAGTAGGGCGAATGGAAAAAATATATGGTGGAGTTAAGTAGTTTATGTATCCAATTTGAAAGATCGATACACGATTTAAATAACTTCGCTCGATAGAAAAAAATCCAAACATAGCCAATTTTTGACACTTTGAATTCATTTTATGACAAAAATGTATACAGAACATGATTTTGAAACTTATACGATATTTTTTATCGCAAGCCAAGAAAATCCATTTCAGAAAAAAAATTGATAAAATTACATTAATTTAATGTTTTACATAACAAATTGTTATTAATAGACCACAAGCCCATGAACAAAAAATACCTGTGAAATGGCCCAACGTGAATTACGCTTAGAAGGCTGTTACTATATCTGAAAATAGCTCTGAGCACTATGCCGTCATTTCTGAGCGGTACATGTGAGTACGTGAGTGAATGGACTTTCTCAGGTACAATTGGGGAATTTCGACTAATTATTAATGTACGGCTTTGTTATAAGTGTATAGATGATTAAAAATAAATGTCGAAAAACCTAGTGCCGTACTAAAGTGATGGTGCCGGAAGTCGGTGCAAATTTTTAATTCGACGACAGTTGCAGAAGCAATATAGGTCATTTATTACTGTACGGCATTTGTGTGATTCCTTTTGGACACAGATACAGATACTTTACCCGTAAACGCCGTACATATTTCCAGCGGAGCGGTCGAAAGCCAAGGGTCGCAACATATGTCTGATTAGCATATAGGTGATGATGATATAGAACAACATAAAATTAAATGATCTTGAGAGTACTTCACAAATAGATAACATTTTCTAGCATGCCGTACATTTTTTGTGGAACACATAGGTGTATGGGGTAAATTACTTTCCTCAGAAAAGAGTCATTTTCCGGTGATTTTTATCTGTACGGCAATAACTCAGGTTATTAATACTTTAGGCCATCTTCAATAAAAGATAAATGCCGTACACTTTTGATAGTCCGCTAGTCTGTGAAATGGCAAATTATACTACCGCCTACCAATACAGGGCGTCCCAAAGTTATCGGACATGAAGGGAAAGTACCTTAAATATCGTAGATAGGGTATTTTACTAAAATAAGACTTTATGTTATTTTTAAAAGTTAGTCATTCTGCATTCAAAGATTTTCTAAAAATTACTTGCCTCGTCTGGGAATCGAACCGACTTATATGTAAAAAAAACAACCCTACTTTTATGATGCCAATCGAAAGAATGGCCAAAAACTAATAACTCTTCTTAAGTAACATAGTATTTTAAAAGAAAGGAACAGCGTGAACATATATTTTTAAACAAATTAAAAATATTATCTATCGTATTCGGCCTAAAAAAATCCCCTACGAGTCTGTTACTTTAGAAAAGTTATTAGGTTTTGGCCATTCTTTCGATTGGCATCATAAAAGTAGGGGTGTTTTTTTTTACATATAAGTCGGTTCGATTTCCAGACGAGCCAAGTATTTTTTACAAAATCTTTGAATGCAGAATTACTAACTTTTAAAAATAACATAAAATCTTCTTTCAGTAAAATACCCTATCTACGATATTAAAGGTACTTTCCATTCATGTCCCATAACTTTGGGACGCCCTGTATTATATTTTTATTTTTGTTAAAAACATTTTTCCTTTACCTCTCTCTGCTGGTACGATAAGGCTGTAAAAATACTTTACAGCCTTATGGTAGTATACTCAGATACGTACAGTTATTAATGACCTTAAGGGACACCTCAAACGTCGTCGAAGTTTTTATCAGCTGTAAAGAATAATCTGGAGTAAAATGTACGGCATCTGGTTTTTTTTTGTTTATTTATATTTGTTACATATAAAATAACAATAATCTTTGAAAATATTACTACCCATATTACTCTAGGAATATTTGAAAAGTCATCTAAATTTCGGAAATTTCATATATTTTTTATCATAATATTTTTATTTGTTACCATTTATAATGAACGGCTATAAGGTATAACGGTAATATTTAGTAACATTATGTAAAAAAACAAGTTGCCGTACATTATTCTCTGATCTTACAGCAGTAAGAACTTGGTAAATCCTGAAATTTCGATAAATATTTATTTACACAAATATTAACTATAAGTTTTGGACGGCATAATTATAAAACATTATTGTCCGTGTTAAATAATATTTTGAACATGTTGCCGTACATTTTACAATGACCTTAGGGTATATGGGTGTAGGGGTTGGGTTGCGACCCTTGGCTTTCGACCGCTCCGCTGGAAATATGTACGGCGTTTACGGGTAAAGTATCTGTATATGTGTCCAGAAGGAATTACACAAATGCCGTACAGTAATAAATGACCTATATTGCTTCTGCAACTATCGTCGAATTAAAAATTTGCACCGACTTCCGGTACCATCACTTTAGTACGGCACTAGGTTTTTAGACATTTATTTTTAATCATCTATACACTTATAACAAAGCCGTACATTAATAATTAGTCGAAATTCCCCAATTGTACCTGAGAAAGTCCATTCACTCACGTACTCACATGTACCGCTCAGAAATGACGGCATAGTGCTCAGAGCTATTTTCAGATATAGTAACAGCCTTCTAATCGTAATTCACGTTGGGTCATTTCACAGGTATTTTTTGTTCATGGGCTTGTGGTCTATAAGGGCCGGCGCACCTCAGTGATCCAGCTCTCCACTGCGCCCCGCAGTCCACCCCGAGAGTCGAGACACTGTTACGGAAGGACGCTTGCCGAATTTTGCGCGAGTGCTGCGGTACCGTTTACGTATTTTTAATAATTACGTAGGTAATTATTAGGTTGTATCAAACCGGAAAAATGGGCAACAAGGATAATAAAAAACGGAAGTTGTCATCATTTGCTCGTAAGAAGCATTATGAGAACTTATCTGCAAAAACGGGTACCCCGCAGTGGGCGGGGTTAGCCGTCCACCGCTTCCTCTACTTCACATCCTCAAATACCTACAATTCGTGCTGGGATAGGGCCATAACGCACTTCAACACGATCGTGGGTTTTCCCTTAGAAATGTAAGCTGTTTTCCTCATCGGATTTGAATGTTTGACTTTCCTTTAAGAATTCAATCGAGCCGCGTGACGACCATACATTTAGTTTTTTCGATAATTGCTAATTGCCAAATATTAGTAAATTAAGATATGTTTGATAAGGTTAGAAAATAGTAGTGCCGCGAGCGCGTACAAATTTACTTAGGGAAGCATAGCACCCTGAATACTATGTCGCAGACAACTAGATTAAATAGCCGTTCAATCAACAGCCTAGCCTCTTAACTAAACAGCGACGTTTAACTAGCGGCCTGAAAGATGTTCATCCAGTTGTTCAAACAGCTAGGCTAATTACTTGGATCGATAACGTTTCATTACTTGCCTAGCCTGTTAACTGTTAATTTGTATTTAGTTCCTGGCTGTTAATTTAAGTTTAATGAAAAACAAGAAGTACAGTGGAAGAGTGTAGTAATAATAATGTGAATTTAGCTGTGACTGACTGAAGCAATTTAATTTTTAAAGAAATATATTTGATATCAGATGTTTCGTCCCTTTTATTTCTGCCACATCGTTTGATTGCCCTTAGCATTACCCAGTCAGTTTATTAAATATTTTTACAAACGCTACGAATATCTTTCAGGCCGCTCGTTAAACGGCGCTGTTTAGTTAAAAGGCTAGGCTGCTAATTGAACGGCTCATTAAGCTAGTTGGCTACGACATATACCTACATATAAATATGTTTTAGAAATAAAACTTTAAATACTAAATATTACAAAACTATTAACATTCTTTACCTAGGTGCGTGCTATGCAAAGCATATGTTACTATACATGTGTGGATATCCATCTCGAAAACACCTGAACCGAATTTTTATGAAGCTACTACAGTTCCATAAAATGTAATCGGATTTAATTTGATATGGATTTTAGTTGGCGAGAAATTAATGTACACATAATAAGCAAAAACAGATTATCATACTGAAATCATGTTCAATTCCAACAATATCACATACACCTTCTTTTTTTAACCGTTCGTAAGCTTTGTACTAACCTCCCAAAATGGGCCCGTTTTGAAAAATCTCAACCAAGTGGCCATAAAAGCTAGCAGCACTGCATATGGAGGCGTTAATCTGAAATAATAAACTTATTTAATTATTTTTATAAATTGTGGGGATGGCAGCTTGCGCTAATGACCTAGAACCTACCGAGTGACTTTTCTTTTCCACATCGGAAGAGTTCTTATTTGGATGATATTTATTAGGAAACTTACCTAACTTATCTAAACTTATTAGTTGTTAAAAATAATAGACTTAATTTTACCGTATGGCCATTTTAGCTATAAGAAAAAGTACAAACTAAGTCCTGTGACCAACTAAAACTATCTGCAGAAAGATAGATAAGATTTAAGATTAAGGTTCTGACGATACATATGAGAGTGGAAAAATTAATCATAACAATGGGCGGAATCCCACGTTTATCTTATCAGTCGTTTAGTATTTAATTAATTATGAATTACTAACGTAATTGCAAACAGAAGTTTTGATAATTAATAATAATAATAAAATTGTTTATTTCGAAAAACAAGGTTCCATAACTATGTTAGTAATTACAACGTAATAACTTAAATCTAAATCTTTTTTAATTAATGGATTCTTTTTTATAGAATAGGGGGCAAAAGACCCTACGGGACGCCCAAATAGGGCAGTCATCGCAGCAGGACACACATTTTTAGTGAGTGCGCTGCCGGCCTTGAGGGAGGAGTAAACTCTTACTTTGAACAATTGGAGGTCATATCTCTCAGAGAAGACCCCCACCGGGATTCGATTCCACAGTTCACTAGTTGACTATGAATGAGGCTGAGACATTTTTCGTTTGTATTGACCTTTTAGAAGTCGGGAATTGAACCCACACTGTTCATCACATGCGATTCTAACTAAACAACGAAAGTATATAATTTCTTTGCCTAATTCCCTAACTATTTTGTCGTTTATGTTATTAAGCCAGCAACGCTGTTGCGAGCCTTCTATGTGACCATGGCCGGCGGTTTCACATAATTCAGATGATCCTCCTGACACTTTCGTCCCCGATTTATTAAAAAAAAAACACAAGAGATCTCGCTAAGTAATCATGTATAGTACAAAGAATACAATCTGTATATTTTGCGCATATTCAATTTATCGAGGAATGTTATATAAAATCTCACAACTTCCAACAAAAAATTTACAGAAAATACATTGAATATGAATGTAAATGTTCACTGCCATCCGTAAAGTATTCATTTACAATTAATTTTTATAAGGACTACTTAACATATTTACGCACCTCAACCAACGGAAGAATATCAGGCGTGGTAAAAAGAATAAGTTCACATTGTTCCTTTTGAAATGTATTTGCATTTTGTAGGCTAACAGAAAGCCTGACATCACAAAATATGTTTGTATCAGCAATGGCCCACTTAGAAACATCGCTTGAATTGGATTCAGGTAGGCCTGAAAACAATAGAAAGTTACCTCTACATACAATGATGTTAACGATATTGAGGAAAAAACAAAGTTAATAAATGACAAAACGAAAAATTTAAAGTTAAATCAAAACTTTGGTCCTTGTGACAGATTACCCTTAATGCGTACATTACCTCGCTGTGCGAGTATTGCCTAACGCCCGAACCCAATAATCAATCCACAATCTCAGATTGTTTTCAATCTGAATCAGACCGTGACAGTCGATCGATCTCCTATCTGCATCCCAATAACCAAACCCTACGAAGACAATCCATTTTTGGCGACGAATAAAATGCTCTTTGTCGTTCCATTTTACCGAGTTTTCACACATATTTGACAATCAATGTAAACCAAATAAAGTAAATAAAACCGTACAAATAGCATCAAAATATATGTGTATGATAAACATAACAAAGAGTTTTTTGACTATTTAAAAAACTGGTGTAAATAAAATCTGCTAAAATAATTAACTGATGAAATTGAGCTTTCGTCAACTGTCATTTTCATATAAAGGTATATCCACGGACACCGATACGACCTCCCATGGATAGCTTGTATCGACAGATGGCTATTACAATCCGTCGATTGGTTATTGGCACACTTGTTACAACATTTGGATTAAGATTACTGTCTCAGATGGTGGATTATGGATTGAGATAGGTTATTGGGTTCGGGCATAAATGCTGTGGGATTAAAGCACCAGTTCTAGGAGTGGTACTGTCTACAAGATGCCAACTTAAATCTTGTTAACTAATTACAAAGTTATAATAATATTGTAAGTCTAGTAAAACAATAAATATATTAAAATAAAGAGACCGCTAACCGCTAACGAGTGTAGAGTGTAGTTTAAAACCAAACTAATAAAACTTACGTCTTCCATCCCTTTCGTTTCCTTTCCTATGAGAAGAAAGGGTAATAAAACATGTGACGATATCACTCCTATAATAATTAATGATCTGAAATGAAAAATGTCGTAAAGTTAATCCATTCAAATTCAAATTCAAAAATCATTTATTCACGTAGGTAACTCAATGTACACTTGTGATTCGTCAGTAAAGAAATACATATTAATGCTTATAATTTAACATTTACTGCCAGTTCTCAAATCAAGGGCGTAGAACGGAAGAGAAGAACTGGCAATAAACTCTCCGCCACTCTTTTTAATCGCCATACTTTTTTTTACACATAGTTTTGTAAGGACCTGCATTCATTACACCATGTTCCACATGACATCTTAAGTAATTATTAATAATAACATAAATCAAAAACAAAGACTTGTCCTTTATCAGCAGGAGGCATGGTGAAATAGGAGCACGCACTTACATTCTCGTGGGAACAACACGCAAACACATAGTCGAAATAATTAACATCACCGCATACACGAATTCAAGTACGACCAGTCACCACAAGTAGCACCCGTTCACGAGTATGACGCATGGCCAGCCATCGGCCCCCTCGCCATATTTTAGGGAGAGAGACAACCCGACGCATGGACGTCGCCACATTAGTATTGGGATATGTTTGATTTCCACAGATAGTCCACAAAACGGAGTGCTTTGTATGAATTACAATCTAGCCTATACAATAATCATGGCTAATAATTTATATTATGCTGACTTAATTTTCTACAATACAGTCTTAGTAGTCTATAATGTTTTGGCACTATGATTGTGTGTCCGAGATACGGCACTGAAACTTCCATAACTCAAGAGCTTTTGTTCTCTTTAGGCGTCTTATTCGAAGTTGATACCCTCAGTATTCACGTGATACGATTTATTTCGTTATATCAGATTTTATACTGAATTTTTATAGTAACCAACCTTATGCTATACAAAATCTGAAACCGGCTCATTTCATCGCCAGCGTCTGTACATGAAGACAGCCTCTTCCAGTTGTGGCGTATTGAGAAACACAAAAGAAACTTTTGATCTGAAATACATATTCAACAAAAATTATTTAATATAAAATATAACTTAAATAAGATTACTGTGTAGTGATCATGAATTGTCAAAACATTCGATTTATGAAATCCCAATTGAATTTAAGTAATTATGGTTTCACCAGGAATCAATCCTATCACTTTCGGATTATACATACTTATACATACATATATGCAAGACCACGGAGGCGGTAACCACGTGCGAGCGTATCAATATAGTCATGCTTTTTGTATCTTGCACAAAGGCGCAATTTGTTTGAACTTACCTTGATGCTTTTCATTTATTGTACAAGCGTCATATATACTTCCAATAATATTTAAAGCTACGATTAAAAATAATGCCGATGCAACACCGACATCTCCCATATCGAAGTTCATTAACCTCTCATGTTGAACTGCATTGCAAGTAACGTCTGTGATCATTGTTTTTAATCCGTAGTTTTTCAAAAACGTATCGTTTAGACATGCCCCAAGATGATCTCTTGAAGTGATACTTTTATCCCCTTTATAATTATCACACTTATGTTTGAGGCACAGCCCATATCTCAGATAGGTATAGTTTAAACGTGTAGTTTCTTTCATTGAGTATTCCTGGAAATAAAACAGAATGGTGTAACGTCTATTACTAGGTTTATGTTTCGATTATGCAAGTTAAGTGTGTTACAACTTTAAAACAAATATTAGACAGAAACATAGTTAATCTGTTTGCATAGACTATAAAAAATAAAACAAATTAAAAGAAAATCATAACAATTAATAATATATACAAGTAATTTAACAAATAACACACAAATCTATAATTTTTTGTCAGTGATAAAGCGCGCCAAACGTCTCATAAAGGCGCCAACTGTTTTGGCACCAGTAATCAACGCAGGCGGGAAATTTAATAGTTGCGCTCCCTCAAACGATATATTATTATGATGCCGTATACTATAATATTAACGAATTAATTCTAGGATAAGTATTTGAAGTAAAAACAAATGTATTTGCAATGTTGAACTTATAGTACTATAGCGGAATCTTCAATAATTTGTGCGTGCTAAAGGAATGCGAATTAGTAGATGAGTCACAAAAAAATACTGGATAATCGAAGAGTTCATTTCCTTGTTTTTAGCCCGTGAATAAAAGATTTGTTGTACCTGGATCATACACAAAAGGTCATTTGGTTCCTCTGACACCAGCGTGAAGTGAACAAGGCAGTACCGGTTTGTGCTATTTTCCAAGCACCCTTCATAGTTGTCCATCTTGTGGAGTGGAGGCATTCGGTCGTACATTGAATCTAAAACATTCCAGTTTCTTTAACCATAATTAATTATATTATTTGTCTTTCAGCTATTTGGTATAGGGGAAAAGATTGTCTAAAAATTCAAATTCAAATAAAGTTCATCAAACTTCGTATAGGCGGCAATAAATATAAAAAACTTCCTCTTCTTCAAAATCAACGAATTGAGGAAAACCATGTTATAGTTATTGAATCATGTGGGCTTTAATTTGGTGTAATTAAAGTTTTTTCGACCATGACGAAATCAAATTGCCCTTTAGGAATTTTTTTTCTTTTAAAAGAGCAAAACAATTTTCGGCTATACCGGAACTCGTGCCACAGATAAAATCAAGGCTCCTTTTAGTGTCCGTTACATTGGAGCAATAGAAACATGCAAATACTTCCGGTTCCAGGATTTAGGTTCGTTCACCTCTTATAGTTCATGAACTTTTGTGTTGACCTATCAGCTGTTCAACTGCGATTTAATTTAGTTTACTTTATATTCCTAACCAACCGTTAAGGATATACTTGCTAATGGAAATTATACGTTACCATTTAGGTTTAAAAAATCCTATTTGAATCACCTACGACTAATAGAGCATAGGACTGATACATTTCTTTAAACATATATGTTTTTCTATCTTAAAACGCTTCAAACTTCCCAACAAATTCATTAGCATTAGTTTTTCATAATTCAATTACTCCTTTGCCTTCTTACATTATGATGTAATTGCTGCGTAATATATCAACTAAATGACAAGTGTTATTTTTATTATTTTTTGCCACCATAGATGACACACTTGACTACTACTTACTTGCTATGTAAGGACTTCCATACGATTGGTTTGTGATTCAAGTGTTCTATGTTTTGTGTGTGTTAATATGTATAAAAAGTACATACATTTACCGTTGTTTGTCGTTTAATAAGCTCATAGGCACTTACAATTAAGGACCTATCCGGTCGCCAAACACCAAAAATGTACATTGTTTCTTTCCATTTTTCGACATCGTTTCTTAAAGTAGGGCGAATGGAAAAAACATATGGTGGAGTTAAGTAGCTTATGTATCCAATTTGAAAGATCGATACACGATTTAAATAACTTCGCTCGATAGAAAAAAAACCAAACATAGCCAATTTTTGACACTTTGAATCAATTTTATGACAAAAATGTATACAGAACATGATTTTGAAACTTATACGATATTTTTTATCGCAAGCCAAGAAATCCATTTCAGAAAAAAAATTGATAAAATTACATTAATTTAATGTTTTACATAACAAATTGTTATTACGGGCCGGCGCACCTCAGTGATCCAGCTCTCCAGACTCCAGCTCTCCACTGCGCCCCGCAGTCCACCCCGAGACACTGTTACGGAAGGACGCTTGCCGAATTTGCGCGAGTGCTGCGGTACCGTTTACGTATTTTTAATAATTACGTAGGTAATTTAGGTTGTATCAAACCGGAAAAATGGGCAACAAGGATAATAAAAAACGGAAGTTGTCATCATTTGCTCGTAAGAAGCATTATGAGAAGAGAACTTATCTGCAAAAACGGGTACCCCGCAGTGGGGCTAGCCGTCCACCGCTTCCTCTACTTCACATCCTCAAATACCTACAATTCGTGCTGGGATAGGGCCTTAAGTAGTAGTAGTAGTACATACGCACTTACGCATACACGCATTGCACCTTGAAAGCGAGTATGCGAAACAGTAATTCTTGGCGATATAAATATAAGAAGTTTGGAGGTTGTACGTTTCATAATTATTGATTAATGGGTCTCTGACATAATGTATTTATATTTAATTAGACTGCTGTATATTTGTAGAAAAAATATTGCAGTGAAATATACTACTTTTAACTAAACCTTTCCTGCAATTTTGGTGGCAACATTACTTTGCTTTTATTTTTAAAACCCACAGGTATATAACTAAAATAATAGACATCTTTGACCAATTGTATTCTCCCAATTGTGAGGTTTCTGTGAACACATTCATATATGATTCATCAAAATGTTTCTATTTAAATCAAGTCTAATAACAATTAAACGCCTAATTAAGCACAAAACAATTTATCTCGCAATAAACAAAACAATTAGAATTAATTTATAAAAATATTCCATAATCATATTTTTCATTAAAAAAGTGTAATTTTTTTATATTATTTATTATGAGTCTAGGCGTGTGACTAAACCCTGTGGTAAGCTTTACTAACACACCTTACTAATAGAATTTTCTCTTGTGTTCAAACTACCAGTTCTACCAGTTCGTATGTCAAGGGCGTAGAGCGGAAATAAGAACTGAAAATTAACTCTCCGCCACTCTTTTTAATCGCCAAGTTTTGAGTCATAATAATTGTTTGAACTGAAACAAATCAATCCCAAGAATTAGAATCATTTAAATAATCGTCAAATTTAAAAAAGCTTTATTGATTAATTTACATTTACGAATTTTAAATTAAAGGGCATACCCTCCTAGAAAAAATATTACCCGCCTTGCGATTCTGTAACTCACTTTTCGAACTCTCAACGCGGTTTTCACATTCACGGCATTCTGATAAGGAGGGAGCTTGTAGTTTATTGTTTATCAGAATGCCAAATCGTGAAATGACTGCTTGACGACTGATTTGAGCGCGACCGCCGCTGCGAAAACCGCTGTGAGAGTTCGAAAAGTAAGTTACAGAATCGCAAGGCTGTAGTGACTTGACTATCTCATACTCTCAGTGAGGGACGTGTAAAGCCAGTTTTACCTATATATCAAAATATACTCTTTCATGTGAACCTTAGCGCTAAATAAAGCATGGCATGCTTCAAGATTAGATTTTAATCGCAAACAAATGTTGGAAATCATATACTCGTACATTAATCGATACAGAAACATAAAGATACCCTTAAAATAAAGATAAATATTTAAACAAATGACTAATTAACACAAAATCTAAAAAAAACTGTGATATTTTAATCTAAATTAAGTACTCTCAATAAATTATTGTTTAGTCATGGAATTAAGTATCCGCACGATATCCAAAAGAATTTACATATTTGATGTCGACGTAGTAGAAGAAACTACGGACTTTTTAACTTGGGGAAAAACGCTTTTATCCGCGGTGTAAAATATCTAATAGGTATAGATATTTTCCGCCACTGAGTCAGCAACACAATGAATTTCTTTTAACATAGATGGTTCTCGACTTAACCCGAATCAATTTTACTTCAAATCCAGTACCGATCCGTGTATTACGCACGTATTTTTCATAGGGCTTGTGTTTTTTGGTACAGTTCTATAGTTTGACGACCATTGGTCTAGTGGTTAGTACCCCTGACTGCGAATGCATGGGTCCCGGGTTCGATCCCCGGCTGAGACGAACATCGATGTGATGAGCATTTGGTGTTGTGCTTAGGTCTTGGGTGTTTAAATATGTATTTATATGTCTATCTATCTATAATATGTATGTATATCCGTTGCCTAGTGCCCATAACACAACCTTTACCAGCTTAGCATGGGACTAGGACAATTGGTGTGAATTGTCTTTAAAAAAAAAAGAAAAAAAATTTTTTTTTCTTTGAAATTAATTTGAAATTCAAAACTTTTTGGAACTTATTATTATACATAAATATGTGAAGGTACTTTGTGAAAAAAATTGGTATGCAAAAACAAAATACCATCCTATATTCTTAACATAAAGATACATATGAAGCGCAAACCAAATGTTAGCAAACATCGTACACTTGAAGCCAAAATGAGCCCTTTAGTTTTTCCCCACACTCATAAATTGTAATATAACATTCTCGTTTCCGACAATGTCCAATAGGTCGACTACACTAATATTCTTTATATTATGTAACAAAAGTGTCACTTAGATTTACGAACCCTTCAATAAGTTAATTTTTAAGTTTTTTAAGTTAGTTTTTTGTGAATCCACGCGTCGCACTACTCCTAATTTTTTAATAGTTTATTTGACTAATTCTTAAAAATAACAGTTTTATAATAGTTTGTCAACTAGATAAATACTACTATTATATTTGTAATTATCATATTCCTAAGTTGTGTGTTAATTAATTTCTGTTTTTTTTATTAAGTAGTTCATAAGTTTTATAATCTATGAATAAGTTGTCACTATCATAAAATGTTTAATAATAACTTATGATCATGGTAAAATAACGTGGTAAATATATCGAATCACGGCTCCACCTTAAAACAGCTGCAAATTGTTTTTTATCGTTCTTTACGACTTGTATGAAATATTAAGGGGGCGCATGGCTTTGGAAAAAAAAACCAGTGGCGCTACAACTTCTTTAGGTCTTGGCCTCAGATTTCTGAATATGATCATTTTTTTCTAATCTAATAGGCAAGTAGGTGATCAGCCCCCAGTGCCTGACACACGCCGTCGACTTTTTGGGTCTAAGACATGTCGATTTTCTCACGATATTTTCCTTCACATAGCAAGAAAGTCCATTTGGTGCACAGCCGGGGATCGAACCTTCGACCTCAGGTATGAGAGTCGCACGCTGAAGGCACTAGGCCAACACTGCTCCACTCAAAAAAAAACATAGAACTGATAATAATATTACATGCATGATGTAAATTATATTGTCTCAGTTCCCAGTGAATTACATTAGGTTAGGTTTTTTTTTAATTCTAAGTGGCGTTTGTGATCGGGTTAGGTAAGGCTAAGTTAAGGGCCAAAAATTTCTACCTTCTTTCATTTTTGACAAATTTTGATGTTTTAATTAATTTCTATAGAGAGTACATTGCCGAGTGATGAAAATATGTAGAAAAAATTTTGAGCAATTATCACAGTTCTTTTCTACTGAATGTATTAAATTATCGATACACTATAATAAAAAAAATAAAAAAAACTTATTAAAAATGTCAAGCTTTTATCAAAGTCCAGCGCCATCTATGCATACAGATCAAAACTATATTTCACCTCAATTATGAATTATTAGCTTAATGGTGGCACTGAATTTTTCTTAGGTGTATATTTTCAAAAACGTATTGGATAATAGCGTTCAA